GCGCCACCAGAGCTTCGTCCCAATCAACATCATTGACCACGTGGAGATGCGGTCATTTTTTTAGGGGGCGGGGGGGAGTACTCTACTCACTAATTAAGATGTGGTTTGTAAACACCGACACTTTAACACTAAAACACTTTAAGAATATGACTTATTTAAAAGTTAACGGATTGCAGCTGACGACACACCATTGCCGTCCCATCCTGTCACTTCCTCATCACCTGTTGCTGGGTTGGTGATTGAAGCCGCGAGAATGAACACTGGGCATCTTCCTGCCTTGGAGCGCCCGCGTTCCTTGTTGGTCTACGGAGGCCACCGGTAGTGCCTATCAGCGAATGCTACATGTTCGGACACAAACTGTGCCAGCAGCCCGGGAAAAGCCTTGCCACACAGAAAAACAAAAGTGGAGACATCAGCACAACATGTTCATCAGAGGTCGGTCAAGCTTCTTTCTCGGGCTTTGTTACGAAACAGCAGAGCGTTTACGTAGATTGTAAGCTGCGGATTACGGGCTCTGCGGGCCTGTGCTGCGCAATCCGCGTGACGGCACAAGCTCCGACTACCTCCCGTGAACAGCGCAAAGCTCTTCAGAAGATGAAAACAGCGCAAACAAATTCTGAGGACACCTAAGCTCTACTTATGAGTTGTGAATGCGAAAGCATGAATGTCGTTCTCCCGCTCCCTTAGTTCGTCTGCGGCGTACTGGCGTGGACAGCGACGTTTCGCAACTGCAGAGGTAGCGGCCGACGGCCGAGCGCGCGCTCTCGTGAAGTGGCCGCGCCGCGCTGAGATTGGCCGTGCAGCCTCTCCGGAGTTTGCCCGTGAGGGCTCTTCGGCCAGGCGCTCCCTTTTACCGGCGGCCGGGCCGCTGCGTGCGCTGCGCCGCCGAGAGGGCTTCTCAGGTGGAGTTCCTTGGAACTACGACGCGACACCTCGTTCCTTGAAACTATGACGCGCGCCAGCCAATGGGAGCCTATTCATTAGATCGCTGCTACAGACGACAGGCGTGGCTCCATTGGGACAGGGGTGTTAAGGTGCCATTGGGCGCGGCTTCAAGAGCTGATGACGTCGGTTCGCTCAATGGGACATTTAATGTTTTCGCATTAAAACGACGGACCGGGTGAAGGAAGACACAAACAGAGCGCTGTGTCTTCCTTCATCCGGACCGTCATTTTTTACGCTGTTTTTATCTTCTGACGTATGTCGGGCCAACTCGCTCAAGCTTCATCTTCAGCAAAGCTCTAGCGAACAATATACGAAAGGCTCCTGTAGTTGCTCATCTCATGATCAATAGTCTATTTATTGAGTGTCGACTTTGCCTTAAAATTCGCATGTTACATCCGTTGCATTGTGTGACCTTTTGACCGCCTAGGCCTAGCGAGGGAAGCCCTCACGACGGTAGCACGGTGGTGCCCCCTCCTGGCTTCATATAACAACTGAGACGTTCAGTGGATTCACCCGCGGCAAGATCATGCGAATAAACCTCAATGCAGTTGAAAATTGGAAACTTTTTATTCGTTCCTTCATAATTAATTTTATACAAGTGAGGCTCACATCCTTGCAGGGGACCCTAGATTCACAGAATCTACAAACATAGTGAGTCCTTCCTTGTTGAACCGCGCGTTTAACTCCTCACCCATAAATGCTCTATACCCATCTGAGCGCAAGCTCTTAAAGGCCAACCAGCCTTCCTTTGACTGTTCGAGGGGGCAGGGAGGAGTTCGGAGGCAGAACCACACACCGATACACAAGGTTCAGAAGTTAAACACATACCTATACACAGGTCGGCCATACACTTTATATCCCAGCCGACGAAGAGGTAGTCAGCGCAACAACATAAGCACGATGGTTCACTAGAATAGGCTAGACGGCCTCTTGGATTTAAAGGGCTGTTCAGACAGGACACGCTCTCTGCTGTGCACGGTAAATAAGGTCTGCACATTTCTCAAGGAATATGAACGCTTCTGCGCGCACGAACGTTTTCAGTAAGGAGATGAACCGCGCAAACAGCACGACTTTCTTTCTTGTCTCCTCGCTGTCGACTCATTGTATTGTATTCGGGAGCATACTTGTACGTAACTTAAATACTCTACTCAAGTCATTCTATCTTAAATACTTTTGGGGGTAACTTGGTATCTTGCACTATCTGCTGCACTTATGAAGTATGTACACTTCGTAGGTGTACATACTTATGAAGTCTGTTTGGGAGTTTGGGGACTTGTGAAGTGTACACACCGTATAAGTTACCTGTAAGTTACTTCCACCTTTTTAAAAGGGTTGACGGTGACATAGATTCAGCTTTGGAGACATCGTGTTTGCGTCCATGGTGACTTTTTTTCGCCCTTAAGTTAGCATAAAAAGGCTTGTTCCCTCTCCTTTCTACTAGCGTTCTTTTTGTGTACGCGTATATATATAATTTACGCAACACAATTTTCCGACACGGAGCGCCCCTCGGTGAAGGGTGAGGCGAAAGGACATATTTTCTATCACACTGATTAAAATGGGGGGGGGGGGGGGGGGGGTGGAAGGGCTCTGCTGCTATAGGGCTTCTTTTTCTCTTCTTTGTTTACTTTTTATAACAATATGTAACTTGAGGGTATCTTGGAGTAGCGAGTTACTTTTATGAGTATTTGTACTCTACTCAGATACTTTTTTTTTAGCATGGTATTAAGTTACTTAAGTGCTTTTTTTTTAACAACTCTATTTGAGAGTTTGGGGACTGACAACCACAGCGGAGGCCTTGACGACAGTCAGTAGAGCGTGTGAGTGGCTACGTCCTGCCATGCGTCATAAGCGAGCTCCAAAGCTTTGTCTAAGATCACTAGTGAAAGGAAACCTTCTCGGTTGGCAAAAAGAAGAGAGAAAAAAAAAACACGTTTTAACGCAGACCGGGAGCGGTGGAAAAAACCTCCGCTCCCGTCCTGCAAATGCTGTGCACGTCAGAATACGTGTCATGTGTGGGCAGCCCTTAATTCAGATAAAGCAAGGACGTCAATCTTATCTTGAACAATAGAGGAAACCTCAGACTTCTATCTGACCTTTGGCTATGACCAATGCCACCGAGACTACGTTATAATTATTGAGGATTTTCTCAAGCCGTTAGAAATCCATTGAAAACAGGAGCGCACGCTGATAATTAAAGGTCATGTTTGCACAAATAAATCACTGTACAAATTGCGAGTTCAAAAGCGGCAGAGGTCTTGTCAAAATATCACTCGTCGGAGAAAATCATTACTTCCAAAATCAATGAGCATTACTTCAGCTTTAATTTAAATTTCAGTATTTTGCAGCAATCAGACGTGGTTACGAACCTCGACAGCAATTAAACGTTTACAGAGGTATTTCTTTTTTAATATTGTTGTTCTTTGTTTCTCAATTTTTTTTTAATACAGCAAAGTCCCGATGGCGCGTTTGTTCTTTAAAGGAGCCAAAATTTATTAAGAGGTAAAGGGTAAGATAATTTGACATGCAATACCGTGAAATATTTACGAAATTGCTTGTTAGTCGTTTCAGATTGAAACCTGTACGTTAGAACGTTACTGAAAAACCTACCCCGTTACCAGTAACGTCGTCCCTTGAAACGCGTTACCTTCAACACTGGTAATGGGAAGCGGCGGCATCAGACGCTGCCTTGAGTGGGCAAGCCAGGACAACCTAAAACCTGTCGAAGATTCAAGCGTACTGTGCCAACTTCAATATTTCTGAATTGGCGTCATTGCTGTTATTGAGAATATTCACAAGTTGCTCCTAACTTCCGGAACCCTGAAACTCTTGCATGATATCCGGAGCCACTGACGGTGCATTTGTTTGCAGATCGAGTCTTCAATTATGCAAACATTATTCTTGAAGTGCGGGGTTCGCAATTTTCCAATAACACCCTGTATAACATATTTAAATATTTAAAATTAATTTAACGATGAACGTACATTTGAGCAACCTCTGAACAACAGCTTATAGAAGGTTCGTGATCGATAGCTTTCTTACGGCGATGGCTTCAGAGGTTGCTATTTTTTTCTACATAGATTTGTAAGATTTTATATGAAACCTTTGGTCTCCCGTACTAAACGTTTAATTGTTCAAACAGAATCTACACAATACGCACTCGCAAGGAGGTATCTTCACATAAACGGCAAGAGTATGAACGCGTTTTTTGTGTGCAATGTTTAGTTTTGTATGGATACTTCCGGCTGATATTTCCCAAAACCAGAGCCGTCTTGATAGCGCAGAGACAAAGTTGCAGCCAAAGAATCCCTGGTGGTAGGTGCTATCCCGGCCAAATAGACAGCGCCTGTTCAAGGGTTAAGGCTAGTTCACACACCTGCGTTTCGTTGCAATCGAGTGCGTAATGCAGCCTTGTGCTCCTTTACTAGAAAGCAAACAACACTTTAGGTTTTAAGAGAGGGAGAGGAACACTCGCAAATAGCAAGCGTTCCAAAGATACCGGATCCATGGCGCCAGTGAATCTTCTCGTCATAAGGGGAGCGCAAGGCCAAACAACGCATCTGGTTACAATCAAACGCAATGTATGTAAGCCAGCCTTTACGCTGTGCGGCGCCATGTAGCTCAGATTTCAGCTCGGATCTGAGGACTCTCAAATCACCCAACTCAGGCCTTATTTGGGACGTGTTCATTGCCCTCTTGTCTGTGGCCTACGGCCCTCAATATTCAATTTATAGTATTCATTCTGCGGATAAATAAAGGATTGGCACCGGTTTCTTGGATGGGAGTGGAATGAAAACGGTCGTACTGCGGGATCGATCTGCCCGAGGCTCCACTAAGCCTGTCCCGGACGGAAGAAGTTGAGCAAGTGTTCTCCCCTTCAAGCGCCTCTTTAACGCAAGGGCGCCGGGGGCTAGAAAGTGCCGGGAGATGGCGCACCCTCCCTTCCAATTGTGCATAGGAACAAGTGGCCCCGACATCCACACTCCGTCGTACTCATCGCAGGTCGATGCCCGAGAGCCTGTGCCAGAGGACGATCCAGGGCACGAGTTGTAGGGGACAGGCGGCGTAGCCCAACGTGGCCGAACTTCGCTGCCAAGACTTGAGAGACTGCTGTACTGCCAGCCCGTCATGTGGAGCTGTGGGCCGATGCTGCAGCAGGGAACGCCTGTAAGCCGCACATGAACAGAGATACAGTAAGATATATACAGGCGTTGACACCGCGCGCGTAGCTGCTGCAAAATGAAGTTTTCTCCACGCCTTGGTTGCCCAGTGCGCCACCAGATTACTCTTCTATAAACGGCTAGAGGTACCTTGTCGCGGACCCAGTTTGCCATGTTCCTCTAGAGACAGTCTTGTTGCTAAAGTCGTTTTCCTTGTGTGTCGCGCAATGTATAAATCAAAACTAACACAAAACTGTTAATTGCTTAGGCACGGCTACGTCACTAAGCAGTTTGGTGCCTCAACGACGACAAGAAGAGCTTTATGAACGTGTTGAAGCGGAAATATCTAGCGCGGTGTTCAAGCCAGCGTTTTGAACATGACTTAGCAGAAAGTTTCTGAACATGACACATTTATATGTCATGTTCGAAACCTTTTTCGATCAGGGATGTCTTCCACCCGACTGGCTTTGTGGTAGAGTTGTACCTGTACATAAGGGTGGGAGCAAACTGCTTGCTGAACATTACAGACTAATATCGTTAATTAGCACCAGCTGTAAGCTGCTTGAACGTGTCATCAGCATCTACATAAGTTTTTTTTTGTTTTTTTAATACCCGCAACATATTAGTCAACTTTCAACTTGGATTTAGATACCAATTGTCTACCACTACTTAGTAGTGCACGATTTCGACCATGCGACTAATAACAAAGAACAAATTAATGCAATATTTTTAGACCTATCCCAAGCCTTCGACAGGGTACCGCCATCACCTACTACTCATAAAATTGCTGCGGGCTGGCATTGCTCCTCGCCTTGTGACATGGATCGCTGCTCATTTCAAAACTAGAGTGAAATTTGTTGAAATTAACGGATGTCAGTCAGTACATCTTGACGTGCTCTCTGGATTACCACAACAAGGGTGGGTATTAGGACCTTTTTTTAAAAATTTATGTCGACGACATGGCCGATAACAATATCACAAGTGTGACTATGAAAATGTTTGCTGATGACTGCGTTGTTTATAGAGCTGTCAAAAATACGTTGGATCAAGTATCGCTTAACGAAAGCGTTTGCAAAATTTCAGAATGGTGTGAGAGGTGGCAAATAATTATTAATTACTCTAAGACATGCGCTCTCACAGTAACACACAAAAAAGTTCCTCTTAGCTTTGCATACCATGTAAGAGACAAATGCATCCAAACTGTAAACGAGGTACAGTGTCTGGGCTTCGATATTATAACCAAAATTAAATTGGGAAACTCAGATAATATAGCTGCAAAGGTTTTCAAAAAGTTGTGTTACCTAAGACGGAAGCTAGGACCATGTGACTTGTCTGTAAAACTTTCGGCATATAAAGGTTTATTCGGCCAGTACTAGAATATGCGTTCATTTTGTAGAAGCCGTACTTAAAATATATATGGAAAAAGTCGAGAGAATTCAGCGCCTCAGTGCATGATTCATTTCTTCCGATTCTAGGTGCCTATCATCAGTGTCGGGCTTGATACGCAAATCCGGACTTGAGTCGCTCGAGTCTAAGCGAAAAATTGCTAAGATGTCTTTTTTTTCTTATCTTTTTTAATTTACAATAATGAGTTTGACCTAGAAAAAACCTTATGCCTTTTACCACCTCCCCAGCGCTCTGCAAGGTTGAATCGCACAAAAATGTAGGACCATATATGCTCCTAAAAATAACACCTTTAAATACTCTTTTTTTTTTGTGCGTACGATTAATGATTGGAATTCACTGCCCTCCAATTGTGTGCATGCCCCAACTATTGACTGCTTTGAGAGTTCTCTTCGAAACCTTGCGCACTCGATTGTGTGCATTCCCAAAATATTGACAGCTCTGGCTGTTCTGTTCGAAACCTGACGTAACCCTCCGGTGCTTGGATGGTAAAAAACCATCTGCGGTATTCCCTAAATAAAACGATCGAATAAAGGAAGCTTCCGTCGAGGTCAGGGAAGACACGCCGAGAGGAAAGCGCGCGCGTCAGGTCTCCCCGGCGGAGGCGCTGTCGGCATAACCTATACTCGGTAGCGCGCCAATAGGACTTTATCTGGTCGATCGCGTCGCAGCAGCGTTCGGTCTGATGTGCGTTTTAATTTAAAAAAACAAAGAAAAACAACAAAAAAAACTTCCGCCATGAACAGGTCGCATTGGCTCGTACACGGTCCTCAGATGACCTTGTCTAAAACATTTTCCTCGCGCTATAAAACAAGCATTTCTTTTTTTAGGGACAAATTGAAGCACTACAGGCGTGCTGCCAACGTTAGGTGTGAACCTGTCAGATCACTCGGAGAACTTAACCGATGGACGTGGGTTCCGAGGAGCCACCGTGAAAAACCGCTAGATCCCACGGTCCTGTGCCAAAAAAATGGACTATTGGAAGCGCCATCTGCGGTGCTGCAATTTTGTAAAAACGAACTATTGGAAGCATCCAGCGCTGCTCCACTGCGTTACTTTACCTGTGTTGCCAAGTGACGTGAGAAACTCGGATCCATTCGAGTAGATTTATAACATAGCCATAGTTGATAGTGCATGATAGCAACCACTCACTTTTATATTTCTATTTACTGAAAGCAAAGCACTGATTAGTTATAGCGAAGTGATACTAACTCGGCAAAACAGATGGACGATGTAGAACTCCGCGACTGATATGCAAAGGTCAGCATTTTAGGTCGACCTCACTCACCCTCACCCTCACAGCCACACTCACCTAAGCCCCTCACTCACCTTCACAGCTACCCTCACCTTCAGCCCCTCACTCACCCTCATCCTCACAGTCACACTCACCTTCAGCCCTTCACTCACCCTCACTGAACCTCACGGCCCTCACGCCCCTCACACACTCATGGCCCTTACGCCCCTCACGCACTCACCGCCCTCACGGCCCTCACGCCCCTCACGGCCCTCACGGCCCTCACGCCCCTCACGCACTCATGGCCCTCACGTCACTCACCGCCCTCACGCCCCCCACTCACTCATGGCCCTCACACCTCTCACCGCCCTCACGCACTCATAGCCCTCACGCCACTCACCGCCCTCACGCCCCTCACTCAGTCATGGCCCTCACGCCCCTCACCGCCCTCACGCACTCATAGCCCTCACGCCACTCACCGCCCTCACGTCACTCACTCAGTCATGGCCCTCACGCCCCTCACCACCCTCACGCACACATAGCCCTCACGCCACTCACCGAAAAAAACGCCCCTCACTCAGTCATGGTCCTCAAGCCCCTCACGGCCCTCACGCACTCATAGCCCTCACGCCACTCACGCCCCTCACTCAGTCACGGCTCTCACGCCCCACACCGCCCTCACGGCCCTCACGCACTCATAGCCCTCACGCCACTCACCGCCCTCACGCCCCTCACCGCCCTCACGGCCCTCACGCACTCATAGCCCTCACGCCACTCACCGCCCTCAAGCCACTCACCGCCCGCACGCCACTCACCGCCCTCACGCACTCATGGGCCTCACGCCACTCACCGCCCTCACGCCGCTCACGCACTCACCGCCCTCGCGGCCCCTCACAGCCCTCACGCCCCTCACGCACTCATTGCCTTCGCGCCGCTCAGGCCAGCTTCAGATGGGGCGATTTCGCCCAGAGACTTGACGTCGCAACACCAGCAACCCGCGATCACACGCAGCAACCAATTGCTGCAATTTGCCATCACCATCATGAAATTTTATTTTTCTTGCACTATTTAGACACAATTACGCGTTATAAACGTGTTTTTATGAATTTAAATCTCGTTGAGAATACTAATGTACCTTTCTGAAACAGCTTATTTCTAAAAACGATGGATTTCAAACCAGAACCAAGTCTTTCGTTGTCATCACCTCCGGCACGAGGTATCACGTGAAAATTTTGCGCCCCTGATTGGATGCAGCCACTTTAAACGTCTTTGAATTGCTCCGAGTTGCTTGATTATTTCGAGCCGCACCCCATCTCAGCAATTCGTGTCGATCTAGGGAAAGCTAGAGAACAACCCGCCATCAACACCAAAATTGCTGAGAAAGATGCTCCGTCTGAAGGGGGCCTCATGCACTCACCACCCTCACGCCCCTCACGCACTCATGGCCCTCACACCCCTCATGCACTCACCGCCCTCACGGCACTCACGCCTCTCATGCCACTCACTGCCCTCACGAACTCATGGCCCTCACACCCCTCGCACCCCTCACGCACTCATGGCCCTAGGGGCCTCTCATGCCACTCACTGCCCTCACGCACTCATGGTCCTCACACCCCTCACCGCCCTCACACCCCTCACGCACTCATGGCCCTCACGCCACTCACCGCCCTCACGCTCCTCACGCACTCATGGCCCTCATACCCCTCACCGCCCTCACATCCCTCACGCACTCGTGGCGCTCACGCTACTCACCGCCCTCATGCCCCTCACGTACTCATGGCCCTCATACCCCTCACCGTCCTCACGGCCCTCACGCACCGCCCTCACAGCCCCACGGCCCTCACTCACCCTCATACTAATGAAATTTCCTGCTTCAGAAACTCACTCACCCTCACTTCACCTGTGAAGATGAGGGTGAGTGAGGGCCCTCATGAGTGAGGTTTGCCGAGGTATACTGATATGGTATGCAGCAAAAACATGTACACGCGTCGAAGCTGATCGGTATCGACGCGTGTGAAGGCGCATGGACGTGTGAAGGCGCGGGAAGTGTGCCGTTGCCTTGGCACACTTCCGTGTGCCACGGCAACGGCACGTTTAATCTCTCCAGCTCCCCTGCACCTTTGCATGAATTGCATTAACATCGTATCCTTTTATCACGCCGCCTGACCACGAGACATGTTTTTGGTCGAGTTGTACCATTTTTCTGCGGTGCTGCATTTTCGTAAAGGCAGCTCTGAGATGTCTTTGAGAACGGGGTTTTCAAAGACTTCGTCTGCGAGCGACGGCGAACGACCAGAAAACGTTCTTTCAGCACTCAGTCGCCCAGCCTCTGCAACGCTTCACCCTGCGCACACTTAAACAGGCCCAAGATGACCGATTCGCAACTCCCGGTGGCGTATCCGCGGAACAAGGAAGTGGGATCCAGCAAATTGTCATGAAGATCGGTGAAGTGTACCAAAGAAATACCACCCCGAACAAACCACCACATCAAATCGCCTTGCTGGCCACCACGAAAGACAGCTGGCAGCCATGACGCGTTTGTGACGTTTGTGGAAGTGTAAAGGAAAGGATAAACATATGTTTGTTTGTTTGTTTGTTTGTTTGTTTGTGTTTATCCTGTTTTGTCTTCCTCAGGGGTGAGCACTATGCACCGACCTCCACAGACGTTAGCGCGAAGTGCGCCTTGATAGTGGACTACTTGCGCATTGCAGAGGAATACAATACTGACAGTAATGAAGAGTGTGAGAGGAGCTTCTGCCGCATTCGTGATGAGACTATGAAATTATGGTGATAGTGATATTTATTTTAGCTCAGGATAGCCGCGGGTCAGCAGAAAGGCAAATCGTGCATTTACTGGGAAGGCCTGAGGCGCCGTGTTTAATGGTCATACAATGACACTTCACAGGTGAAAGAAGATTGGTAATGATGGGGTGCAAGGGGAGCCTGCGGGCGAGGGTGAGGGATTGACGTTGCCGGTGCTTTTGCTCTTGATTTCTGGTGCAGCTGGTCCGTCCTGCTTACCTTTAATATTCAACTCAAAAACATAATGAGAAATCACGTGATTGTGACGTGCTTGGGCACCGAATGCGATGCCTTGAAGCTTCCACCGTGAAGCACACCGTGGAACTTGTCATTCTCAAGTGATGATAAGTGCCGTCATGCCACTCATTGGCCACGAACGCGAATCCCAATATTCGTCGACTGAATTACCGCATAGGGACGCAGTGCTCGTGCCCAATCTGTGAGCTGGGGCTGGCTGCAGTGCTTGGGCACGGTGGATGCATCACGGTGAAAAGGCGAAGAGCTTTCGAAAGAAAGGAGGTAAGCAATAGTCCGCTATATTTTCAAAGTTTTCGTACCGAAAAGCAGGCTATTGACTTTCTACCTTCTTTTTTTTGGCCCACTAAACAATATGAGGTTAGTAAGATCCCAATGTAATATAATGCATCCCAGCCCAAAATTAATTTCATGGTCCTTTTAACTTGCATCTGTTTACAGTATGTGACTATACATCTTTTCAAAAACGTGAATCTGGCCGCTTTCTTTTGAGTGTTCGTGTGTATCGCGCGTAATTGGCTTGCTTTCCGAAGCGCCAACCTCGCGCATGCTGGGCCGTGGAGATCGCACGCTGAGCTGGGGATGTGTAAACATTATTTTTGTTCGATTTACCTGCAGCTACTGCACCTTTGCAGAAAACAGTAGGGCGAGCACTTCCGGTCCTATCTCAATGCACATACCGGAAGTACACTGCCCTACACTTTTCTGCATCGGTGCAGGAGGTGCAGGTAAATCGAACACAGCTACTGGAATGAGGTATAGTAGCGGAAACCGCCGAGGTTTCCAGATGCTGAACCGAAATTTGGATTTCGGAAAACAAGGCCGCAGATGTTTTGAACGGGACGCTGCTATCTCTAAAACATTACTCATACATCGATATCTCATAGGTATGGCCGTGTTCTTGAAAAAGAAGGGCGCGATCAAGCCAGGAATATGACGTCACGACTCTTTTCAAGCAGTTGAGAAGGAGGGAAAGCGGCCTCGCTTCACTCCTCCTCGCTTCGGTTCACCTGCTCGAGAGGACGAAGCGAAGACGAGAGGGAAGGAGGATCGCAACGTCACCTGCCTCGTCGGCCTCGTCGGAAGTGTTCAATCGCGCACTTCATTTTCCAGAATACGGCCACCCGTTTGAAATATCGATGTATGAGTGATGCTTCTGGATTCGTAGCGTCCCGTTCCACGCGTCTGCGGCCTTGTTTTCAGAAATCCAAATTTTGGAAAACGTGACTCCAGATTTTGCACCCACACCGAATCGAGACTTTATATCCACAGTGACTGTATAACCGTTCGCTCCAGCCTTCTTTTGTGAGCTCCAGACCTCTTTTGGGAGCTCCGAATTTCGGTTCAGCATGCCTTTAAGGTCGCACGATTTGTGTGTTCAGCTGGGGTGTCCTGGTGATACCAAGAATCTCTCTTCTTCTCCACTGATATACGCCGAGTTGAAACAAAAGTCTATTCTTGTTCCTCGCAGGTTTATCTTTCAGGTAGTTTACGGTAAATGCAGATATGAAACGGTAAACGATGCATGAAAAGAAGGGCAAGAAATGTATAGCATGACAGGCTTAAAAAAAAAACAAGAGAAAGGGGGCGCTTTCAAACCAATAGACGATCATTCTAATATCGCATTACAGCACTGAAGTCGCAAAATAACGCTTTGGCAACGTTCAGAACCATCTCTCGCAAAAGAAGACGGAAAACATGTACTGAGGATTATAGCTCTCGGTGACTTAAACGAACAGGTCAAATAAAACACAGTCACTTTTAGACAAATGTAAATGAAGGTTTCCATAACTGACTGCGTTGTGCCTTATGGAAGAACATTATTTACAAAAATTTGACTGTGGTCCCTATAACTCATGTTTATCTTGTTTGCTTTCTTTGTTTATAACAATCATCTCCCCTACTAAAAAATATATATATATATATATATATATATATATATATATATATATATATATATATTTTTTTTTATGGCGGTTTTACGTGATGTACTTCAGGCTCAGTATCTCGCCGGAAGCCACGTTGGTTACGTTTCGCCCTATGCCTTTTTATGCACATAGACAGCGTCTCCCCCCCCCCCCCCCCCCCCAAAAAAAAAAAAAAGTTTTTTTTTATTATTAATTTTTTTATAACATCTCGTGACTTTAATTTTTACGCTTTATTTACCATCCTCAGGTTTTCTACTCCAAAGGAACGCCTACCTGCTTGCACGACTGCTCACTGCAGCACGTTTTGTTGGCGTTGGAAGCCGGTGAAACAGTAGTGAGTTTTAGTATTGCGTATACGAGCGAACGCAGGCGCTGTGTGTTTGCGTTAGCTTTGCGTGTTCTACACAGCGCGTGCGCGGAACCCAAGCTCGTGGTCTTAGATTAGCGGATGGCGACGACGCGCATGTGAAGCGTGGAGCACGCAACTCTAATGCAAACGCACGGATCTTGCTTATATACGCAATAATAAAACTTTGTAGTAACGTACAATCCCATACCGGTTGCAGCACTACGTTGGAGCAGTGGAGAGGGTGGTTTGCAATCGGAAATGGCATTTCGCGAGCAGTTCAGCCGTGCCCGCTGAGCAGGAGAATCGGGGGACCCTCACTAGAGCGCTTCCCGTTTCCGCCGCTGGAGGGCGAGCAACGAGCTGGAACGCTGAACCCACCAGTCGAAGACGCGTTGCTCGCCCTGTAGCGAGGTCGCCCGGTCCCCTTACCACGTGGTGAAGCCGTCCAGCTTGACCCAGAGGTCATGAAACTTGCGAGGCCTTCCCGTGTGCGACGACGGCGTTGTCTGGGCTATACCCAGGGGCCGGTTGGTCCGCTTGGGGTTCCGCTTCGAAGAGCCCTGCACGCCATAGAGTTCATATACTGAATTTCCCGTAGCATAGTCTACACCCGGTGTATAGCTCGCAAAAACGAATTTCGACTGAAAAAAAAAAGAGTTTTCTTGGTGCATGGTTTCCACCTGGTGCCTGTAAATCGTACGCAAAACAAAAACAAACAACTTTTCTTACACAGGGCGCTTTGACAAATGCCTGGTTTATTAGCTCACAAAGAACCTTATATCATACAAAAATATTTATTAATAATGTCATTGCAAAATCCGTCATGTCTCGCCATAATAAACGATCTAAAAAAAAAATCCTTGTATAGCTTCAACCTATAGATGCCCCGCACCACGTAAAATTTTAACTTCTCAACATGCATACTCCGCGCGCTATAGTCCGAAAAACACGGTAATAACTCCGCCCACCCGCCCGCCCGCCCTCCCGCCCGCCTGGGACTGCACAGCCACGGGAATAGAGCCGCGTGACTGGTGCCCCGCTGCGGCGAGACGCCGAAACAAACTTCTCCCGAGCGAACGAGTGTGTTTCGGGTCTTCGCCGCTGCAAAAGCTGTGCGCTGACGTCCAGGTTCCCCGAGAAATAATGTTTTGATGCTCTGTGCTACCAGATCCTCGGGCTCCAAATCTGCGACCGGGCACTCTATAGCTGGGTCGTCGAACTGCCAGACTTTGTGAGTATAAAGGAGGCTATGCCACTGCACACGCCGAAAGCGTTAGAACGCGGAAAGCCGTGCATCCGGCGTTTGGCTTCTACACTGAAATGCGTTCGAGCTAGGAGTGCAATGGAGCCAAAGGCTGCCTTTGTCTCCACTGCACTTGTCGGGCGGGTCGAATGCAAAAGCCAAATGCCGCCGGAGACCGGCGTTCCGCATTCTAACGCTTTCGGCGTTTGCAGTAGACACAAGGGTTGCAAATTTAAGTCTACCCACTGATCATTCCAACCAGAATTCGGCATTGTTTCTTTTCTCTTTTTATTTTTTGGGTTTTCAGGGCCCTAAATTGTCAGACAAAAACAATTTCGGCCCGAAGAACTGTGGTACTTGAGCAACCCCCCTACTGAAGCTTGTGATTGCAGACTTTTTTTTCTTTATTATAATGACGAGAACTTTAAACCGCACATCGTAAGTTAGCTACCCCCCCCCCCCCCCCCCCCCCGTGTAGTGTCTGCATGTTTCACGTAATCTGAAAAATATGATATGCAGAAAGAACATACAATCTCTAATGGACCATATGCAGAGCACGACCGGAACACGAAATATTTTATGAGTTTCTGCAAGAATAAAGTAAAAAAAGCAAAGAGCCCACTGTTTTAATCAACATTTCCCGGTCGCAGTGAAAACCAGTTGCAAAGCGTTCTGGCTCGTAAACGCGAAAGAAAAAGCTAATTTTCAATATTACAAGAAGATGACCAAGAACATTACGCAAATGACTTGCCGATGAATACTCCATAAAGTATTTATTGATGTGGACCCCTTTATTTGGCAAATATAGTGCCTACACGCTCACTCCTATAGATTTGAGGAGTACGGTTTACGGCCGAATAAAGGCCGGGTACAGTGTAGGTATGCCCGAAGTTTTGACAGCCATATACCATGCGTCAAGTGCCTGATTTGGCGGCTCCCTTAATTAATTTACTCACGCTCTCTAATGACAAAAACGTCTCTTGTTAGAGCATTTTATTTGTATAAACTGTTCCAGAGTTCGTCCGAGCTCCATCAAAATAACATTCATCCACGTGCTTGCATTTTCCCTCATCTTGCGGTGGTTCTGATCAGGGCTGGTGCGGTAACTGTTAAGATCCGTTTGCTCTACCGACGGATATTCGAAGGCTCCGCTAGTCTTGGAGAGGTCCCGGGATCGAATCTCGGACCAGGCGGATTTTTCTTAGTGGACACCAGCCGCCTAGAGACGCTAGGTGCACCCCATTTCGGGTGGAAGTCAATTTATCCTTTCATGATGCCTTCACGTCAATGAGACTTACTAAGACGACGGACCGTTGGTATCAGGTGCATCTTTCACATACGAGCGGCATTTTTTAAATGGTTTATGAGCGTGTCTTAAGCGCACACAGATGTGTGTATGAGCGTATTAGATTACGGCCGCGCTCCAAAAACTCGTCCAGGCCCCTGGCGCCCTATTTGGGCAGAGATAGAGCGTTCCGCGATTCGAGGTGCCTTTAAAATGCAAAAATAAATCTCTTTTTTTTTTTCTGGGGTTATCTTGCAAGTCTTGCAGTCACCTTTACTGTCGTCTAACGTTGTATTCTGAATATCTTTATCATGCTGTTTACTGCCGTGCACGGCTATACAGAGCGTTCTTCAGTCTCTACAGATTGTTTTCACGATAAATCGAACAGTTACCTAACATTTGTTCATTAACTTTTTGGTTAATGAAGATAGGCCTATGGTTTTATTTAGAAACTTGATCAGCATCATCGGAAACCACTAAGGCAGCAAATTTTAGAAATATTGGGAGCGCATGGGAAAATCGGTGGTGCGCTGGAGTTACCACTTGGTCATCAGACGCAAGATTAGCGGTGCGAAAATTCGGGTGATTAGGATTCTATCATGCGCAGTTTCACACAATCTACCAACGTACTTTCCACGTGCTACAAATCTTTGTCAAATTTATTGATTTAGTGGTTTGAATGACAGTGAGCAAGTTTATAATTGTAATCATGGGCTTATTCTAATTAAGTAAAAAGTAAGGAACAAATCTTTATAAACAATCCTACCTGGCGTGACGATTAGATTCATGCATCATATCCCCCTGGTCATATATTTCACCTGCAAAGGCCACACAGTAAAGCTTTCACGGCTCTAAAAAGAAATTAGCTGCAGAAACCGCTATTGTTAATTGTCTGTGAATTGCGATGGCATTCGTCATGAGACTACGACACAGCTCACTATGAATACGACGACGCAAATTTTTAGTTAACACTTTCTATTATGAATGGTGTACGACGCAATCATTGACGTGAGCGCGACTGCAACACGCAACTTCGAAATTGAGCGACTGCTTCGTGTCTCTGTAATTCTGCAATCTTCCGTATCCTTTAATGTTCAAGCTGTTTCCACACCATCATTGCAGCTTCGTGTGTGTGTGTCTTGTCCAGTCTTTCTATAATCGTTTTATATCCAATCTGTTTCACCCCCCCCCCCCCCCATTGATCATGTACCAACTAGCTCAACTCAAGCCGATAATTGCCTCATAGCTTGGGCGCAAATGGGAATGTGTGCGTACTGCCGCTCCGTGTATGCGTGGTGCGGGCACCTCTGCTTGCTAGGACGACGGCAAAGACGACGTCAAAAACGACGTCTAGGACGACTTCAAGGACAACCTCAAGGATGCCATCTAGGACGAAGTCCAAGAAGACGACGTCTAAAACGGCCCCTAGGACGACCTCTAGGGCGATCTCAAGGACCGCCCAAGAGCGACGTCTAGGACGACCTCTCGGAGGACCTCTAGGACGATGCCGAAGACGACGTTCGCATACGCACGGTGCCAGCATCTGCGGATGACCTGCGTATGCGGAGGCGTCACCTATGCACACGAGCGTATCGCGAAAACCGTGTTAAGTAGCTAACCAATGCTATCTCGCTGAAAAACCCCCTGATGGTACAAGACCTCTGATGCAGAATGCACTGGGGGTCCTTGAACGGACTATGAGTGGGTCAGAAGGTCCGTGACGGCAAAAAGTTTGAAAACCACTGTGCTTGAAAACCACTATGAAAATTCCATATGGAATTTTCAGAGGCCACTAAATAAATACAGAAATAAATGTTTGGGAATTACCGGATGTGTCGGTGCTTGGCCGCTGGTTGCGCTGTCGTCCCTCTGGGCCTCACCGGGGCTCGAGGGACCTCCTTGATCGTCCAGAGAGTGAACGCTCTCGTCACGCCACGACTCCGACCTTCGGTCCCAGCTCTTCTTCAGGCTGCAGAGATTGGAGCGACACAAACGCTTCATCGCTGCGCGGGACACAGATACCACCTAAAAGACAATAGCTGAGCTTTCTTCCCTAGACTGGGGGTTAGGCGACTTGAGTCGCATTTCACCCCTTCCACCAAGACGTTCGTCAGAATAAAAATCGATTTTCAAAATTTTGGAACTACTGTGCCTGGTAAGCGTTTCTCACGTCCTATTCCGCCCATGCCTCGAAATTGTTCCCGAAGTGGCAACAAAGAACGCAGTCGGTGTGTCATGATGCCAGATGTCGCGATCCTGCTGTTCAGCATAAAAGTTCCGGAGATAAGCACGAGGGAACACGTGTGCCGTTGTCGTCCCGGAATCCCAACTCCCCTGCTTCTGAGATTTCCATGAACTTTCAAGCAGACGAGAGACCTGCAGCAGAACAGGTGTCTGCCACGTTTACTACTTCCGTTGCTGTGACACCGCCAGATTCGCGGCCGACGCTAGCGTGACACTTTTAAGACGTCACAAAGCGGAAATTGAGGGACACCTTTTGGATACGGCAAACAGACCGGTCAAAGGCGCGTTCGTGCCCAAACGCCATTACTAGTGGATCCATGCAGCGCCGCCTAGCTTGCGTCAGCGTTGCCGCCAGCGCGTCTTGCGGCGTCTCACAACGACGCTCGACGCAAGCCAGCGGTCGCCGCTTGCTTTCGTCGTACGCGTCTGCCGCGTTGCGGCGACTCTTTCGTCGAGCTTCGGCGTGTGTACCGCTAGGGGCGGGTCGGGGATCCACAAGCGACGACGTCATGGGCAGCCCTTGTCTTTCAGGTGGTTTTAATGCGGAGGCACTAACTGCAGTGAGCGAGGCCGGCGTTGTCTGTAGCAGCGAAAAATGCCACCTAAATGCCGTCTGTAGCAGCGAAAAACAGCGACTAAGTTCCCATTGGCTGAGAGAAGCGGCACCTAAAGTCCCATTGGCCAAAAGTACAGTAATATAGGTGCTTCGTCACGGACGCCGTGAAGCCAGCGGGGGTGCTCAAGGTCAAAGCGGACGTGCCTCGGAAATAAAACACGAAGAAAAGCACAGCGACGTAGATTCTTCGTCACTGAAGCCGTGAAGCAGGTGGGGGCGCCGCGCCTGCATAGTGTTGGAGCGTGATGCCACCGCCGGAGCGCCGTGTACGAAAGGAAGACGTGGCGCGCTGCTTATAGGAATGCGCTGCGTGTAGGAATGTTTTCGCTTTCTTACAGGTAAGCAGTCGTAAGTGTCTTCGTTTATTTATTTTTTAAACATACGCCCGCCTAAACTTTATGTGAGACTGTGAAAGCTATTTCAGCCTGTGAAACCTCTGCCGGTTTTGATTTTAGACGGACGTTGTATTCGAAAGCCTGAATGTGCTCACGAGTGTTATGCAAGTTTTGCGTCCTTTTTATTATGGCAGATCCGTCGCCCCGGTCTAACTAGACTTCAAAACAGCAGGGTGACATATCCCTACATATGAAGCAAAGACACGTAAAAAGCAGTGGAAGTAGACGTTGCCATAATAAGGCGCACGAGAGAAACAGTTGCGCGATATACGACACAAGCAGAACGGTATTGTAGCGTGCCACCTCTAGAACAACTAGATATGAAAGGCGTAAAAAAAATTCAATTTTTTTTTGCTTGTTTTTTTTAGAGCCCAGCTCTTAGGCGCCTGTTTCGGGATTGACCGGTGTCGCCGTCGGCGGCGGCGTAACCGCGCGTTGCGTTATGGGACGTTTGCCATAATGACGTCACACGTGACGTCCCGTGTGACATCACAAGTGATGTCACTCGTCACGTCACCGCGCGTTGCATTATGGGTAAATTTCTTCACTAAATTTAGCAAGAAAATTTCCCCGCTAAATTTAGCGGAACATTTTCCCCGCTAAATTTAGGAAAAAATTGCCTCGCTAAATTTAATGGGAAAAATTCCCCGCACAATTCACTGGGAAAAGTTCCCCGCGAAATTTAGCGGAAAAATTCCCCACAACAGTCAGCGGAAAGGATTCCTAGCGGAAAAATTTCCCCGCTAAATTCAGTGGAAAAATTCCACGTTAAATTTTGCGGAAAATTTTTTCCGCTGTATGTAGCGGGAAATTTAGGGAAAATTTCCTGCTAAATGGCAGGGGAGAAGGAGAGGAGGAAGGGAGGGTACGGGTGAGAAAGAGGGGTATACCCTCCTCTTCGTAGCTTCCCCTCCTCCTCCTCCAGAGCTGCGTAATTCGGCGTTACAGGGGATTCTAAAAAATTTTCATTCTTTACCTTAAAAGTAAAAAAAGTATTGGAGAACGCTCATTCTCTGCCCAAATGTAGCATTCACGGTCTGAACCAGATGACAAAGTTTCAGATCTAAACGTAAACTTATTCAAAAGTTATGCGACCTTCTGAAATTTTAAGTGAGAAAATGGCGGCCGGACTGAGTTCTCGAATACAAGGAGCCGAAAGGCCAGATACCGAGAGCGGGCCCCACCCTCACATTAAAATGTTCAATAGACACTTATAAGTTTTGAATAAGATGACGCGTAACTTCTCGTAGCGTAAATTCCCGTAAGACTGCCCATTTAAGATGATAAATGACAAAAACAAAATGGGGTGGGCTATCTTTGGAGATGTAGCCGAAAAAGTTTATAAAAAAATTAGCGATAAACATCGGGGTACCCACGTGGACCGGGAACTGATAGTGCACATGGCGGGCGCAGCAGATTCGCGTGTCACGGTGAGACAAATCCTCGAGAACCCGCTACGAACACGCCTGTCACACGTACCGGTACCGCAGATGTGATTGATGTGATTCCTGTCGAATAGCGCGTGATATATCCGACGGCAATTAAGGGGTGGGCTATGTTTCGAAATTTGTATGCTCTCGAAATTTATCCAAAAAACAGAAAGTCCGATCTCATGGAGGAGGGAGTTCATACGGGATTTTTCGGTAAATAAAACCCAAATTAAGCAAAAAAAATTTGGCGAGTAATTTTTATTTTTGTTAAAGATGGCGAAAACGCGAAACCCTATAACTTTTTCTCGCCGTTTATGTAATGTAGCCAACGCACTTACATTCGTATCCTGCGTGTGGCCACGATGTGCTCGATGTTGAAGCCGCCTTGGCGGACAAAGTCCAGAACCGTGTTGTTGCCCAGGAAATGTCCTGCAAAAGGAGAAAGGTACACGACCTTGCAAACTCTCGGTGATGGCTGCACATTACAACGAGAAATAAAACACTTCCACGCATGTAGATTCCAAATACCAGTTCCGCTTCTTTGCCGCTCAGTAGTTTACAACGAAAACGTTATGGAAAAATTGCACTAGCCTGATCATCAAAAACAGAATGTGTTGTGAATGAGCTAGGCACATGCTGCGTGTGTGTGTGTGTGTGTGTGACGTCATGGGAAGTCAAGAAGTCGAATGACTGTGACGTCACAAGACGTCGCGGCTCAGGTAACGTCGCGGTGTCACACAAAGTCATGGTGTCACGTCATGTGACATTCTCACGTCACGCGATTCAGTGACGTCAGAGTCACTTGACGTCATGCGAAATTATGACGTCACAGTCGCTTCATGTCGTGACGTCACAGGGGCACGTGACGTCGATCCTTCATGTCGGTTCTTCGTGACGGTTATTCATCATGGTGGTTGTTTTTTTCTTGTGCCAGTTCTTCATGAAAGTATTTTTTTTTTTACAAAATTCGGTTGATAAAACACGTTCCGTATTGAAAGGCTTATCTCAATTATACAGTAAAATAAAGCCCATATTTTTTGTGCAAATTACCATTTAAGCCTCCTTTTGTGAGTCAGGGCGAAAACGTCGTGGCAAAGAGGGCTGGCAACCACCACGGCGGCGGCCGCGTTCCCACGAACAACGTGTAGGGAAGCACGTCTCTTCCTCCACCCCGGCCTCATACGTTGCCGTAATTACTACCGCTCTCGATGCCCCTCTGAGACTTCCAGTCGCTTTGTGCCCCAGTCTTTTCCCTCGCCTGAGCCAGTATCCGTCTCGCCGGTACCATCTAGAAGCCGAAGCCTGCACATGACGTCAGCGTTTGTGGATCCCCGACTCGCTGAGACTCGACCAGGGTCGCCGCGTGCTAGCGTCGCGCTCGTTGAGAAGCGCTGCGAGACGCGCTGGCGGCGGTGATGACGCTTGATAATGTGGACGCTTGGGCTAGTTGATAGTTCATGCTTGGATGGAACAGCGCGGATATACAGTCACACTCGCCGACACACAAGAAAGAAACAAGAAAGAAACAGCGCAGCGCGTTTGTTTCTTTCTTGTGTGCCTGTGAGTGTGACTGTATATCCGCGCTGTTCGATCCAAAAATGATGACGCGAGTAATGCGAAGCGCAAGTTCGTCTGCTTCTTTTGCACGGGTTGTGGTGACGTCAGAACACCGAGCTCTGATTGGCTCTGAATGAAGGACAGCAGGTACACCTATCAAAGCAAGCTGCTTTGAGGTCTACACAGTATCCTTCCAAACAGAACCAATCACACCTCGGGGTTCTGACGTCACCACAACTTCCTGCAAAAAAAACAGCCTTTCCACTCTGGTGAAGAAGGAAGACCAGCGAAGCTGTACAATGGTAGGAATGAAGTAATAGCCGGCCGTAAGTCGGCAAGCCAGAGTGGAAAGGTTGGCAAGGTTGCGCCGTCGCTCACAGATGGCAGTAGCTGCCCAGAGTTTTGTGTCATCATTTGTTTGCTGACGGACACGATCCTGGGCAAACTTGCCCTTAACAGCTCCGTCGTAAAAAAAGCAAACTAACTTGCATCTTCATAGGTGGAGTGCAAATTAGTCTGCGCGGATCCACTTTACTCGGGAACAGCTTTTCCTGGCAATTCAGTCAAAGGTACGGGCACGCGTGTTCCCTATCCTTCTGAGCGCTGATTAAAGCTGTGGGCGCGCTCTCTTTCTCGCCTCGGAAATTCGAAGAAAAAAGTTGTCCCCGAGTATAGTGATGACAGTAAGGGGGAAAGGGGCAGGCCCCACCTTTACTCTTATCAGTCAGCTCGTCTAGATCAGATTTCGAAAGTTGGCATATCAAGTGTTAACAATCACACATACGACATCTCGTTTATACGTGGAACATCACATGACTCAAAGCACCTTCCCAATTCAATTTCTTCAACTAGAGATGCTGTTTTCTTATGTCGAATTAGAAAAACATAATCACTAATAATGTATGCAGGTTGCCAGGGCATCTCTGCCTAACATTTACCCTCGCATAACCGCTACAGTTTATTTTGAAACTTTTACTTAATGTATGTACTACCTTTAACTAAATCTTTTTTTTTATATATATACGCCAGGCACGCGCGTGCGCTATACTCTTTTGGAAGCGTACCTTCCTCCAACGGTGTGCTCCCTCCTAAGAACGCGAATGCGACATTTGTACTTTTCGAGATGTTCATCGCGGCGGGTTAACCCCGTGGAGCGAGTTTTTTGCCGAGCACCGGTGCACTGCAGAGAAACAACACCCGCGGAGCTTCCTTTCGCGGGAGTCGCTTCTCCGTAGTGCACTGGTGCTCGTAAAGAATCAGTCTCAATAGGGCTAACCCACCGTCATTGACACGTCGAAAAATACGAACATCGCAGTTCATCTCGAAGCAAAGATCGAATAGCGTACTATTTCAAACTACTATTCGAAAAATTAGAATATTAGCACAATCCTCGTTGACGCGCCACAGTGATTTACGCGCTACATTCCGTTTCAGACTATAAGTACGACCCCGGGCGACATCACGACTGAATGGACCCGGAAAAACATTGCCAAAAATGCTTCGTCACGGCGCTCGTTGTCCATGTGCGTTCTCTAAAAAAAAATCCACAGATCTTGACGCATTCACTGTGAACGATTGGCCTAGCTGGCGAAAACAATCGCGCAAATACAACAAGCGCCATGACGGTACACTTTTGATGCTTCTTGGTTGGCGCCACCGAATAGCAGCGTCGTCTGCGTCGGACGGTAAATGTAGAAAAAGACAGGGTAAATATTAGAAGAAAACGGGAAAGAACATAGAAAGTTACATGTGGGAGAAGAAAGAAGGCGTAACAATATCATCGTAGTTGGTTGAACATATCAAAAACAATTATCGCGAAAGATAAAGGACAAGTAGAAGAGTGGACAGGACGAGCGCTTCATGGGGAACACCGTGGTGCCGAATGGCGAAGGAATCGAACCGCGCATTGCACGTTGAGATGGCGATTCAATTCACGTAGAAAGAGACAGGGTTCAACGCAGAAGGAAACAATCCTTGCCCCCAATCGACGGTCTGGTTAATAAGTTCCAGGCTTCCTTTCTCTTCAACACTTCTCTCTCACAGAAAACAGGAAGCGGCCTATCGTAGAAGAAAGAAGTGGTGAAGGTATAAGCTTAGGATCTCGTTGGTTCAACATCTTGAGAACTGTTACCGCGAAAGACAAAGGACAAGTAGAAGGCTGGACAAGACATGCGCTTTGGGGAACGATATGGTGTCAAATGGCGAAGAAATAGAACCTCACCTTGCACGTTGAGATGGTGATCAAATTGATGGAAACAAATTGATGTAGCAGTTGATGTAGAAAAATCCGCAGAAAATATTGTCCCTGTCCGTTTTTTTCTCAGCTTGTGTCTGTTTCGTTCTGCATCAATTAGATCGCCACCCCAACGTGCAAGGTTAGGTACTATTTCTTCGCCATTCGACACCATGGGGTTCCCCAAAGCGTCTGTTCGGTCCAGTTTTCTACTTTTCGCGGTAACTGCTTTTGTGATCTTGAACTAACTAGGCCATCAACATACATTGAAAACACGGATGCCTGAATACTTCGAAGCGACGACGGGTCGCCGGAAATCGAGCACCGCACGGAGCTAAACAAAAAAGAATGTTAACCATCGGCGAAGATAAAAATATGTTTGTTTCTTTCTTATTTTTGATAGAACCGTTTCCCTTAGATACAAAGAAGACTGGATCGTTAAACATTTTAAAATAAAAACCGGACCCCTCCTCGTCTGAATCAGAGGAAAAGAAAAACGATGTTGCCTTCAGCCGTACCCTACGTGCATCGAATGGCAAATCCTCTTTGAAAATGGAATGCGCGTCTCAAAACGGCGTGCCAATTCAATAAAATCAGCGGGCGCCCGAGGCGCTCCGCTGTTCGAGAGGGAGACGGGATGAAGAAACGGCCCAAGCGCTCTTCCAATCCGTTGTTGGGATGCGGCGCCTCGCGGTGAAGCGATTCGATCGTGCAAAAGCCCAATCCTTGCAAAACTAAACAAGAAAAGAAATCACGTTTCCTTGGTTTACGTAAGTGCAACGGCAGCCTCCCTTTTAGAATAAGTATGTGAGGCCCCAGCAGGATTTCTAAAGAACTTTAAAGTTCTTAGGAAATCTCGCCGTCGCATTTTTGAACCACCCCAAACTATATCCTCTGTTGAAGGTTAAGAAAAGCGAGGCGAGCTCCTCCCGCTAGGCCGTTCACCCTTTTCACTTTAGGAGAGCAAAGGACGGAGAGGAGGCGAGTGGACTCGGCTTCTCTATTTCCTGCTCTGCAGCGTTAGCTCTGTTAAAATGGAAAGAGCAGAGGGCATTGCAGGAGAAGTTTGTGCTGCTTTTGTTAAAACGAGTTATAGACACATTTGCGGAATTCCCAGGCTTTGCTCTTCTCGACATGGTATTTATTATCTTTGCAATTTAGATTAATTATTGAGAAAATTGCAAATAATGTTTATGACTGAATCAACATTCAAAGTTTCGAACGCTTCCCAGTGTGGTGCCGTCGCATGTATAAATTGCGAGTCAAGCAGGCGATTTCAATACCGTAACATTAGGTCCGTCAAAACTCTCGTACCCCATCGGGAACAAGTTGTACTTCCCCCTGTTACAAAATTTGACCTCACTTTTTCAGTGTTGTTACAATATAGCCTTCTCAGCCTCTAAGACCAAATCTGAATATCCAATAACTTTGCAAAACCAAACTATTGTGACTCGTAATTTCGCTTACTTGTTATGATGTGCCTATTAACCTGTTAAACCGAATTGGAGGCAAATAGGCGACTACTAAAATTTAGGGGTGTGCCGTTAATATTTACTCATTCGCTCCCACCAAAATTGTCCATACTGTGAGTTGTACTTAATAACGAGACAAAAATGTATGCATTTAACCAGCTTGTCTCCGAAAATTGTGTCCATTAGCGGAGTATTAGGTTCATATATTAGTGATACATGACTGTACGAGGAATTTATTGGAAAAATAAAGCTTTCTAACGTTACCAAAAGCAGAGTTGTCAATTTGACGGTTTTTCCATTAAATATAGTGCTTTTCAACGTTGCTCAGTGAGAGAAATTGAGTTTTTCCAGGTGGCGGGATTTCTAGTGCGTTTCAAGTGATCCCAACGTTTTTTCGGGAGGTCTAGCGTGTTCTGTATACAGATTCAATTGTCAATCCTGGATAGCTTAAGTTCCGCGCTAAGTCAGGGTCATGGGGTCGCCATCTTTGCTTACTCCCAGCAGAATTGTTGTCAGTGATATAAAGGGTGTTGTCTTTCTTTGTGTTTTTTTTTTTAATCGAATGCAATGTTTTCTAAAAATAGCCGTGAAAGCTACGCAAATGCGGTCTGTGCATATGGGTTATACGGCCAGGCGCGCATTATGTTCAAGAGAGAATGCAACTAAAGTATGACTAATTAACGAAACTTCACTAATTACCTTTCATAATTACACGTTGGCGCCAGGCGGGAATCGAGCTCAAACCGTTTAGATCGTTAAGCGGACTGAGGTTCTATTTAGCGGGGCATCGGCTCTGCGTCCGGCAAATAGCAGTTTGATACCCTGTCACACGTTTTTAAAACCCGCGCTGGCGCAGGTATCTCCATTCCAGGAATTGCTATCGAGTGTACATACACGCGTTAATCCTGTAGCTACACTAACCGATGAACAGTGTCGACACCGTAAACGCCACATGTTTCACATGCAACACAATTGCCCAGCAATTTGCTTTGTATTTGTTTTGACTGAATACTTGAATCCCCCCGGGAGAGCCACTGCAGAACCGTTCTGAGGTACACTGAATATAGGACAGCTGAGCTTGCAATAGCGCCCGTCCGTCGAAAACCTCAAAAGTAAAAGGTAGTTCTACTTTCAAAGCCAAGAAATCCCCTTGTCCTGAGCAGCACAATTTACGATGCTGCCATGATCATGAAACGTCCGAATTCCATCTGGAATTGTATGCTTTCCGTGCCAATAAACCAGCTATCATACGAACAACACTGATGCTTCTGTAGGGTCACTTTCACAGGCTAATAAATCTGTCACTTTTAAGATAATTCGCTTTCGTGTCGAAGACGGTAGATACTGTTCGATGATTTCAAATTAGTAAAAAAAAAACGCTTCTCGGTGATATCGCGAAGGAAAGAAAAATAAACTTGTCGTGGCCGCTAAGGTGGCTTACGCTTTAGTTCGCCAGCCACGAAGCACCGGCTCCAGTCAGCTCCGGCGCGCTGTGATGTAAAATAGTGACGCAAATTTCGTCATTAACACGTTGCCCTCTGGCGTCAAACGAGGGTTGTCATCTCGGCGGGAATGGCGCGTCTGGTTTCGGTATCGACAGATTTTCAGTACAAAATTTGACAATAAACAACTCGAACGTCGTGCCCGGTTCAGGGATTTTAAAAACTGGACTGGCTTTCGGCATAGATTGCCTCCATTTCTGCACTATGAACATGTGCCCTAAAATGTCTAATTAAAAATGAATTATTGCATTTTCGTCAATTAGTCATCTTTTGTTTTCTCTTGAACGTAATGTTCGCCTGGCCGTATAGCTCGTTTGCACAGAACACATTTGTGTACTTCTCACGGCTTTTCTTTTTAGAAGAGTTTGACTTCAATAAAAAAAAAAAAGCATTCGTATTACGGTGCAAACAATGCAATTTTTTAACTGATTTATCCGTGAAAGTACGAATTTGTTTTTTAAGTCTACCAGAGGAAGCGGGCCTAATGAAATATACGCAAAATCCCGAAAAAAAAATTAGGGACTGGGATTCTAAACTGCCAGACCAGTACTGGAAGTTCCCAGCGATTTGAGAGGAGTAAAATGTTTCTACTGGAAAATATAACTTTCTGCGAAGCATGTGAATTTGGTTGCTGAAGCCTTAAAATGCCACTGAAGGTTTCACAAAAAGAAAAAAAAATCTGAACGATGAATATGTACGTCGACAGGTATACACCATTCCAATATTTACAAGTTCTCAGCCCAGTGTGCGATCTCCTCAGTCCATTAGACGCATGTTCGTCGCTTTGGAAAGTGACGTAATTTTGCGCCATACGCGCGAACACTGAAAATAGAACCAGCCGGGAGCCCTTTTTTCTTTGGAAAAGTCTATATCAAGCAACGCACATATAGTCAGTAACAGGCTAGGCTAAGAATTCAACGACAAATTCCACTCAAAAAGGATTTATATCACTCCTCCAGCCAATCACTTCCATTTGTTTTGTTGACATCACTGACGTCAAGGCTTAACAAACCTTTTTTTTTTTTTTTTCAACATGGCAGCGCAGGCTTTGATGACAGCCAGCAGAGCGTGTGAGGGTCTACGACCTGCCCTATAGACCTTTTTCGTGTACTCTCGTTCCCAGCCACCTAATAGGCGTGTCCGGTATGGGCGACGAAAACCTACTAAAACGTTTCAACCTGGAACAAGTAAAAAAATTAAGCGGAGGCAAAACTATAATGGGTGGCGGTTACGCTTATATCCTAAGTGGCTTCTACTGGCGTGGGGACGGCAAAACAATGTTTTTGCCCATACTGGAAGTGACGAAAATTCAAGATGGCGGCGCCTTTGGAGAAAGGGTCTATAGGCCGTCAACACGCTCTAAGGCTTTGTTCAAGAACTCAAGCAAAAAGTTACTTGCTCCCAACAACACAAAAGAAAAAAGAAAGTCCCGAAGCGGACTTTTACTTCCGTCCAGCAAACACTGTGCACAACAGAAAGTGTGACCTGTATGAACAGTCCTTTCGAAAGGCAGCCCGCGTGGCCGCAAAAGACGCGCTTGCCCACCTGCTCCGAAGGCGAAGAAGAAGCTCTGTCCGGGGTGTTCCCTGAGCAGTCGCAGCACGCGGTCCCCCATCCGATGGTTCCGCTTGTAGATGAGCTCGTCCCGGAAGTAGCGGTCGATGTCCCTCGCCAGGCGGAGCTCGCGGGCAGACAGCCGCACCGAACTGTTGGCCAGCCGAGGCACCGGGGCAGAGTCTCTGCACGAGCGCAGCTACAGGTTACTCTATTCAAATCATCTGGTGGGCTAGTTGGGTACACACGTTGGTAAAATTAGCACAAAGACTCCCTTGTTTTTGCGCTAATTTTACTAAGATACACGTAACTCGCGGGCACTAAGAATTGCCAGTTCCTTGCCGAGTCCTGAAAATGAACTGATGTGACAGTCGAGGCGCTACACTCTGCTGCACGAAGGCTACACACAATCATTCTCGACCGGCACAGAAAACTATCGAAGGTACGACCATCACGCGACGTCATGCCGTACAACGTTCCAATATCAACGCTATCCTTAGAGGGGAAATGTTCTACGTGACATATACGTGACGTGACGCCGCGTGATGTCACAATTTCCCCACTTAATTTAACGGGGGAACGTTTTCCATGACACACCGCTCGATGAACAGTGAGCTTCGCTTCTTTCGCTCACACCTGCAGCGTGTGTTGCTGATGTCACCATGTCACGGAGGAGACGACGCACCATCCTCTCCAAAGCGGAGCGGGCGCGTTCCGTGTATGAATAGAGGATATACTGGCTTCTTAGCCTGTCACTGACTGTAGTCCGTTGAAGATTCTTGGGCACCAATAACAGCATTTTGTGGCACTATCACGATTTTATACTTCCATCTCTGGCATATCTAGAAATTTAGAACAGGTTATTGAGGGTCGCTCCGAGTGTAATGCCTTTTACTTTAATATGTTGGCCCAAGTCGCTACAAGCGGGTGATGGCACTTCAACCTTTTCGTCATTATTCAAAAACTTTTCTTGCCGCGCGACAGTTGGCAGCACAGGCGCCGTATTACAAAATGTCGCCTTACACTAACTTGCATTTGCTGCAAAGTTGTGTACTAATTAAATTCTAGCATGCAAAAATATTGCATGACCATTGACAGTCACCAAACTCTCGCGAAACATTTACAGAGATAAAAGAATGAATATAAGAAAGAGTGCTAAGATGGGTAGCGCGTTTTAGGGCTGGCAACAGCGGCGTAAAAGACAGGCCACGTTCACGGTGGCCATACAGAGCTGTCACAAAGCAAAATGAAGAGCGTCTCGATTAGCTCATCTCCATGAATCGACGGATTACGACTATAGATCTCCGTACCAACGAACGCTACATCGCAACCCTGGCTGAGCTAAAGGCCCCGATTGCTAAAGTCAAGAGAGAAACATTTAACCTTTCTCTCCTAACAAGATAACGACAGGCCCCATACCAGTTTGAAGGCAATGCATCAGATTGCCAGTCTTGGCTGTAAGGTGGATCCAACCGAATCCACCTTACAGTCTGGATTTCGCACCTTCTGACTTCCATTTCTTCGGGGCGACGGAAGATGGGGAGCATTTTGTTAGCAACATCGCCGTCATGCATGCTGTGAAGCAGTAGGTCACCTCCGTTGGTACAGACTTTTGCCAGAGCTGCATGAAGGCTCTTGTTCATCGCTGGAGAAAACGCGTAACAGATAATAGGGACTATGTCGAAAATTAGGGCATTGTAGCTATTAATGTGCAGTACGAAGAAAGGTTGACGCGCTGTTTGTATCTGTTCTATTTCCCAGTGAAATAAATGGGTGGCCTTATTTTCAAGCCGATCCTTGAATCTAGCACTAAATCCGAAAGAAGTCCTAGGGCTCGTTAAAAAGAAAGCACGACAAAGTTTAGCATGGTTCTTTCCCACATTTTTAACATATGAGATGTATACGGAGCTTCTGACGCGTAACCTGTATTAAGATATGCACATGTTGTTAAAAGCAATTAAAGAAGTATCATTGGTACTTCATCGCTTGTATAATAACGAAGGAGATTAGTCGATATGAAACCTTAAACGGAACGAGAAAATTACACTTGTAGTAACATCTTAGTCTTCCTGACATATTTTAAGCAGATTGCCTTCTGATGCATGCTGCTATAAGACATGTGTAGGAGAAAATAAAATGGACATGGTAAAGAGTCAATCAAACAAACCTCGTCGATTATTTTCGCTTCTAAGACCTTTTCACACATACAGCACACTACTATCTCAGCGCTGGAAACAGTACTTTTAGTCGGCGCTTACCTTGCTGATGCATCGCTGACTTTGCCGCGTATTAGTGATAGAGAGAATATACAGCGCTGCGTTAATTCTATGTTTGCTTCATGTCAGCGTTGCATCAAGGCACTTCTTAGTGTTGACTTAGCGCTGCGCTCTAAGTTTGAATCGGCCTTTAGTCTTAAGAGGGCTAAGAGCTAGAAAAGAAGGAGTGAAGTACTTGTGGAGTCACCGTGGAATTAGGGGGAAGGGGAGCGAACGACCAATCAACTGGCCAGCTATACTTCGTTTCAGCTTAAGCCAAGGCGCCGCCGACGCTACAAACTAAAGAGACCGATCACGCAGCGTCAAAAGCGCAAGTCATCGGGCTTTTTTGTTGATGATTGATTCAGCGATTAAAGGTCACCTAGAGAAACATGAACACCATGATGGTGCGCCTCTAACGCTGCCTGATTGGTCCCACCAGCTCGTAGCGTCGACTGCATCTGGACTTAAGGGGAAAGGAAATATAGACGCTTTAGACACGTGCCAGATTACAGCCGCCATTGCTGACCTTCTCCTGTCTTACAGAAATACCGAGCCACTGAAACGGTCCTTGGCGAGCCTCCACAAAGGCCAATGCTGCGGAGAAGGACACAGTAGACTCTAAACTGGCAACAATCTGGCTATGGTAATGATGAAGTGAAGTAAATGTGAAAAAGGAAACAAAATCTGAAGGGCGGTCATGGTGGCCCCCATGCACGGCTTCCGCAAAGCGAACTGGTGTTAAATAAAGAAAGAAAATCTACCCTATAAATGAACAGTCACAACGATACCGTCCCACTTTGCGCACGCCTTGCAGGGTTATTCCGCCTGGTTCTCGCGACCGCACTGCGCAGGCAGAACCACAGCCTGTCTTAAAACAAGGTTGGTGCTGTACTTGTTCCTAAAAAAGGAGCTAAATACGTCACCCGATAACTGTTCAAGTGCCCTCCCAATTTCGTGTTAAACAAATATCACACTCCTAATTTCTGCGGTCGGCAGACCTGGTCGCAGCAATGTGCTTCGAACAGAATAATGAAAATTAAAGGGAGATCTACTGGTGGTTGCTTAGGAAATGCGTTAGTATGACGCTTGGGAGCCGCCCCCCACAGGCTCCCCTTTGGGAAACGCTTAGGCTGACCCCTTCATCTTTTCTGTTCTGGCGTTTCTCTTTTGGCTTTCTCTTCTGCTTCCCATATTTGTTTTTACTGCATTTTATTTTTGCTTCGTTACGGGGTCAGTGTTAGAGTTTCCTAAAAGACGACATGTGTGGCATTTCCCAAGGGTCATGCTAAAACATTCCCCAAGGATCTACCAATGGGTCTTCTTTTGCTTTTTTCCACGCAGATCCGCTTCGGCTTGCCGCTTCTTGCGCCACAATTCGGTCAGCCTAGCTAGGCGCTGCTGCCACTCCTTCATCGCGTTCGCACGCCTTGCACGCTCAGCGGCGGTATTCGCTACCTGACGCTGCTTTCGCTGTTCACCGGTTTCGGCAGCCCGTCTCCTTCGCTCACGGTCCGTCTTCTTTTGCCGCCTACTTGGACCAGCACTAGTACTTGGTTCATACTCCATTTTGTAGTACAAACCAAGGCACACGCGTTCTTCCCTCTGGCAAGTTCAGACTCGCCCCAGCATCCGCGCGCGCATTGGCTTCCTCCCCGTGACGTCGCCTCCCTCTCGCCTTTGTCCTTCACTACTCTCCTCCTCTCCACGCGGCGCGCTTCCCTTTCCACTGTTTTGTTCGCAGACGGACGCCGTCAGAGTTTCCCTGCCATGCGGGTACTAATGCTAACGCATTACAAATTATGAAGTCTTGATGTCCCGCATGAAGACAGTGAGGTGTTGTCAAAGGGCACGTAATTGGGCAAGACGGTAACTCATTGTAGAGGATAAAAGGGCCGAAAACAACGGATAAGCCGAAGATTGACAAAGACCACACCAAGCATTCGGTGGTGTTCGACATTCTTCTCGAAAGTCGGGAGTTACGACCAACTTGCACGATCGCAGCTCATCGGGTTCGAAAACTGCCACGAGCCTGCCCACCTGGAGAAGACGACGGAGTCCAGGTCGCCGCAGTTGTAGTGCCGGATCAGATCGTCGGCGCTGTACGTGGCGCGGTGCACGCCGCGTCGGATGTGCTCGTGCTGCCGCAGCGTCTGGTCCAGGGCGAACAGGACCTGCGGGGAAGCCGAAACTCAGCCGCACGCACCTCCTATACACCATTGAACCCAACCGCAGTAGACAAACGCTCAAAAACGACGGCTTATGCTTATGCCCAGCTGCGTTTTAGAGAGCTTCCAACCGAGACGACAACGTCACTGAGCTTGAAGGGCACTCGAATGGATATGAGGTCGTAAAGCGCAAGTTTTAAAAGCATGCATGCGTTACACGCGTTGGCATAACTAAGCTGTCGGAGAAACTTCGAAGATTTTTTCAGCAGACAATAGACCTATAGGGAGTATTCACTGGACGCCATATTTGTCGGTGCTGTTTAAAGCGCATGCTCAGAACAAACTCACATCAATAGGCTGCTAAGACCGCCACTCTTGAGGTGCGGAATGCACGTTGCAAAAGAACTGTCGAAGCTCGCCGTCAGCACGCGCTCAGCATTCCCGCACACAGCTATGGCCGCCAATGAATACTCCCTATTGCTATATTACCAAAGCATCAGGGGGATCGGTGGCCGAGTGGTCTAGCGCACACCAGCTCGGAGCACGTGGAGCGAAAGCTCGCGCTGCAGAACCCAGGGATCCTGGGTTCGAGCCCCACCCCTGCCCGTTTCGATCTGGATGAGCATCGTACCGGCGTGCGGTCGTGTATCACTACTGCGTGGTGCACGTTAAAGACCCCAGGCTAGCGGCTGTACCGCACTGGCTAAATTGCTCATCTACAGCTGGGAGACTCGTCGCCCCTGTGAGGCAGACCAAGTTCTAGGCTGTATAAACACACACACAACCCAATTTTTACCAAAGCATCAAAGAGAATGCAGGAATTGGTGTTCCATACGCCGCACGTGCTGGCCTTACCAGTAGTAACTTTTCTAAAGTAATTACATAAAACAAATGGCATATTGCACGAGCGTTTGTCAGCGCTTTATTTTGGTTATTTACTTCGAATCTTTTATACGGGGATTGTGTGCGCGTGTGGTGCGTGGAACACCAATCGCTGCATTCTCCTTGATGCCTGCGTAATATAGCAAATGGTCTATTGTGACGTCTGAAAAAGCAAGTTTAAAGGCTGAACTCCATGGGACGAATATACAGCGAAAAATCGACGAATTTGGCCCGGCGGATTTTGCTCTGCGCGTGGCATCAGCACAGTAGCTGCTGCGTCACGCGCAAAGCGAGCGTGACGTCGGCTGGCGTTCGTCAGTTATTCGTCGCAAATTCGCTCCATGGAGTCCAGCCTTAAGAACACTATTATCATCGAATGAAAGCAGAGTTGGGGCACAGGCGAGGTGGTAAATATTAAGCAACATAATAAAACCGGAGACATGGAAAAAGAAGGACACACGCAACATTATAACGAAGCCAAGAGAGAGGTGTGTGTCCTGGTTCCGTGTCTCCGGTTTTATTACGTTGCTTATTATCAAATGGCTGCTCAACCACCACAAAGGACTGGCAAAAAAAAAAAAATTTCAGACGCTATTGCTATAAGGTCAGAGCCTCATTCCAAAGAAGTCGTGACAGCATCCCGAAGAGCTCATTCAACATGCTTGGACTCCAACAACTACCTTCTCGATCACCATATGTAACAGGTTCGTCAGAACGTGTGAGCTTAAATGTGATTTTAGTTATTGATATAGTACGAACATTTAGTGTGCTATTCATAGTAATACGCTTTCGATTTTATATTGTTTTTTCTTCTTTTTTATGTAGAAGCCGGCTATTATTATCTGTCTGTTTTCCTTTCCACACAGTAGCCAACCAGCATGCTCGCAGTGTCAACCTCTGCGCGTTTTCTAATACATACGAACTAACTGTTGCCGCATCCACGTTCTTCACTATTTTCTTGCTATATTTCACATTTGAACTTCGTTGTGAGTTGCACCCACAAAAGTGAGATGGCGGTAGCTGACGGAAATGTGCACCCAATATCTTCCATTCATTCTGAGATTACAGAAAAGAAACTCGGGAGGTTCTGTCAATACCACCTGTAGATGACAATGTATGCGTCTTTGCCCCTCCAGCGTCAACGCTACCGAATCCACACAGCGCGGCCTGGCTCGCGTCTGCATCGCATTGTGCCACTACCACCGGAAAGACAAGGCCTGCGTATGACGTCATCGGCCGTTAATCTCTGACGCACTCGACCATAGCCTCCTATATACTGAGAAAGCCTGGCAAATCGCCACGAGAAGCGGCCGCCAAAATGGAAAAGGTGGAGCGACACACGATGGATGAGAGGAGAGCCACGTGACTGGCGACCCGCTGCGGCGAGACGCCGAAACACACTTCTCCCGAGCGAACAAGCGCACTTCGGGTCCTCGCCGCTGCAAAAGCTGAGGGCTGACGTCCAGGCTCCCCGAGAAACGGTTCTATGATGCTGTGTGCTACCAGGCCCTAAGTCTGCGACCGAGCACTCTATGGCTCCTTTGTCGAACTGTCGGGCTTTGTGAGTATAGAGGAGGCTATGACTCGACCCACGCCAAGCGGCAAACACGCTGAATCTCGACGCAAGAGTGACGCAAGACGCGGAGTGCATCTTGCCTGCTAGCGAGCGCGCGAGCGGCGACGGCAAGGGGCATTCGTCTGCTCCTTTGCCGCGTACTCTTGTCGAGTTTCAGCGTGTTTGCCGCTTGAGCCAATTCAGAGACCCACTAACTGTGAAGTCGTGCGAAGCCCTTGTCTCCTAACTGGTATTGGCTTCTTTCGGCCAGTGTTGTACCTGTCACCGAAAGTAAGTATTGAAATAGCGTTACTCATTAGTTACTAAAAAAATAACCCGTTACTGAGACTTCAAAATCTAATGAAACACCACTACCGTTACTTCCAAAAAAACTAGCGAATGTCACTTTCGCGTTACTTTGGATTTCAGTATTTGACAGAGATAAGCCGCGGTTACAAACTTCGACAGCGATTAAACGTTTACGATGCGGTTTCATATTTTTATTGTTTTGTTTTTTTTAAATAAAATCAGCGAGGTCCCGGTGTCGCGTTAGACCTTTCAAGAAACCAAAAAGGTGATTAATTTTAATCTACAAAGTGAGTCAAAGAATTCGATGGCTGTTTGAAGGGACTACATAAATCGGTTTCCAAGCGAATCAAGCTAAACTTTTGTACGGAGGTGGCCGGCGAACACGCATTAGGGTTATACAAATTCGCCTGGACAAGTTAAGCTGCGTAAAGAACTAGAAATAAATGAGGTCGGGGCTCCAATCCACAGTGTGAATGGGGTTGGCCAGCGAAGCTGTGGTATCACCTGCAATGATTGCCCACTGCACTATACCAAATGACTGACGAAAGAAAAGTAAATGCACTGTACCAAAACTTCTATTTTGAAACGACATTGATAAGTGCTTTGTTATCAATGCGGGGACGTGCTACGTGCTTCGCATTGTTTACCCGCGCCTTGTCATCTATCATGTGGTTTCGACACTTGTTTTGCGCTTTTCTTATTGAAGCGAATACTGGGGTGGTGTTACGTGTGTAATTCCAAAGGATATATGGTTTTCTGTCGACTAATGCTCTGTCGAAAGACACGAAGAAATACGACTAACGAGTCATATACAGCTTCGTTGGAAAACTTAAAATCGGACACAGAAACTTGAAGTCGGGCACAAAAACGATCTACGAAGAAAACTCCCTAATAGGGAGTTTTCGCAGATGGTTTTCGCCGTCCCGGAACGCTCTCCGCAACCCGCTACGATGCCCGAAACTCTACAGTCAAGGTCATGAGCGCGCAGGCGCAGTAGCGGCTCCTTTGTTGCGGAGGGTTTAGCGGAGAAGAAAAAGCGGTCTACGAAAACTCCCTAATATCTCTTACGACGAGAGGACACGCTGGCGCCATCTATTGGGTAGCAGTGTAAACTTGGCGGTCGGGCATATTTTCTATTTCTCTCGCGCATTATACTTTCTTTCTTGGCTCGAAGAACTTCTGTCAACGTTATAAACGAGCCTTTCTCACAGGTATTACGCACATTTGACCTCGGAAATCCCGCAGAACCTTCGCTCTTGTGAAATGCAGTTCCAGGGTCACCGCATAGATGGCGCCAGAGTGCCAGTGTGTTCTCGCGTCCTAAGAAATTTTAAGAGGTTTCAACAGGTCTCGTCTCTCTCGGTCGTACTCGGTTGCAAGTGTGTGAACGGGCCTTAAGACCGAGAGACACAAGACCAGTTTTTAAGCCTCTTGCGACGTCTCAGGACCGAATGCGCTGCTGCGGAGCAGGTCCTCCGCCGTCGCAAGAGGCTTAAAAACCGGTCTTGATTCTCTGTGTCGTACTCGGATGGAAGTGTGTCAACGGCGTTTAACGCTACTCTCAGGCCCTCCTCGGGGGGCAACGACGGGCAGGTGTGTCCCCCTTACCTGGCTGAAGTTGAGTCCGTTGAGCGGCAGGCACTGCTCGTGGACCCTCTCGACGGCGCCCGTGCGCTTGGCGAGGCGCTCTGCCTGCTGCGCCAGGTACAGGTCCAGGACGGGGATGCCCCTGGAGCGCACGTCGTTCTCGGTGAGCGAGTTGACCATGAGCATGACCCAGATGGGCCGCTTGCGCTCCCAGTCACCCGTGATGGCGTTGAACAGGTAGTCGGCGTACAGGCCCTGGCCCCGTTGGTCCGCCGTCATCCACGACGACATCTTCACCTGCGGGGATGTACTCCTTCTTGATTACGGCCCAGAGACCTTCCGGGACCGCCTTCTTCCAGCTCAGGTACTTCATAATAGCAGCAACAGCTCATATACCAAGAAAAGACACGGATAAAAGAAAGGAGACAAGGACGAATAAACGAAGACTTTCAGCGGCCCTGTTGGTCCTTCTTCGTGTCCCCTATTTTGTCCTTGTGTTTTTTGCGATGTTGCTACTAGTATGAATCCCCGACTCGTCCGAGTTTCCATCTTAATAAACTCCGGTGCCCGCTTCCGGCATGGCTTACCACGGAATGCTTGAGTCGTTTCGAACGGCACTCGAACTGCGACCGATCGATCAAACGGCCACCCTTTTCAAAACCCTACTAAGCAGCATTGGGGGTCTCCATATCCGGGGAACGAAGCGTCTGATTAGATCCCAGTCCTCGCCCAACGCCGACACAGTACTCATGTTTGGTACGAGCAAAGCCGAATTCACGCCGTACTCCGACGCCCCTCTACAGTGTCCAATACATGCTCAGAGTACAACAGCGGTCTTAGATATTTAGCACAGCAACTACAAGGTGACGCGCACTTTTGAGAAGAGTCTATTGAAGAGGACAACATACTTAGTTTCACCATACTTCTAGACGCAGCCCGCGCTACGAGCTGAGGGGAGCAATCGAAGTGTCAAAAACGCAACTCACTGGGTCTAGACTGTACTTACATGATAGGTTCAGTGTTAATAGAATACGTGACGAACATAATGACGTTGCGCTTTCGACGATGTTTCATTTGTCCCATCGTCTCGTAGCTTCAGCTGCGCTCGGATCTAAGGCGAAACAAAGTCCAGGGATACACTTTTCGCCACGCTGCAAGGTAAACGAGGTCCTTTTGAAAGTTAGAAATGAGATGGAGAGATTTTCTTTTTCGACTCCAATTATTTTATTGACAGCGCAATATTTTATCCTTCCGTGACACGACTGAACCTTAAAACTGTAGTCTTCTGGAGAGCTATTTTTGTTTTATTTTGGTTAATTGGTTAATAGCCCTAATTACCTTTTAGCAACATAAATAGATAGGCGCCTCCGTAAAGGAATGTGAACTGTACCGCGTCTTTTTCAACCAATGAATTGACCTGGCAACTTGTTCCAAAGGTCAAAAGGAGCGAGGAGTGTACATTCAGCCTTCCCTCCAGAAGTTCAGTGCAACGCCCGCGTGTTCAGAGGTGGCGGGGCATCGACATTTGAATCTCAAATGCACAGCACACCGCCAGGAGCCACCATGCATGTATTTATTCGTTTACGTCAAAACCGAAGGGTATCTGAGTTCCTCTGTACATGATTGGGGCGTAGGAATGCTTTGCTGCAGCGTTTTCGGTACAAGGGTATTTAGGTGCAAGGACGGTTCAGTAAGAAGCTTGAGCATTTCAGGCATCCGCCCCTTACACCCCCGAGGTGGGAAATTACAACTGCAATTACAGTAAGCATTCCTTGCAGAGAATCGATTCCCGTTAAAAATTGATCGCCCCCGACACTAATTACTGGCTGCAATCGCCTTCCCGCAAAGGCAGTTTCAATGACTGACGCTACTAATTACTTTAAGGCCACGGTCCCACTGAATGTGGCAGTCTAGGTACTTTTTGGCAGGCAATTACTCGTCACCTTTTGAATATTGTTTTGTGGGATTGATGTCATTCGAAAGGCAATGCAATCCTCTTTCATTTTATATTATGTATGTGTTGGTTTTTACTGTTCATGCGCATTTGTAGCGTTGCGAATATAATGGCGCGGACCCTCACTTGCTCCGGTAGTTCATGTTTTATGAACGATCCGTTCAAGATAGCACGGTTCCAATATAGCAGTTTTGTTAAGATGATGTCGGAGCAGAATCTAACGATCCACTTTTTTGATATTTGCACTACTTTGTTTTTTTCATCCCTCCAAATATTGCCCTAAAATTGACATTTTTCAGCACAAATATGTTTTTAATGACAAGAGCTAGGGCAACGAAATTAGCTACAGATGTAGTGCTTATAATTGGTAATATTCAGAAAGAAATTTAATGTTATGTAAAATTTTTTTGTTTAGATATTTTGTATCAAACGTAGCACTTTTTTGTGCTTCGAGTCATGGTAGTTCAAATGCCGCTGAAGAAATAATTAAACTATGATAAAATCTTTTATAAAATTTAGAGCTACAATGGTTGCCCAAGAGGTGGACGATGGCTTTTTTTCATTTTCAAAGTCATAACGCTCCAGGAGCCCTTCAAACTTACCTGTTTTTGACGCATATCTGTTTTGGACATCAAGCAGATTTATTGGCATTTAATAACATTTATTGTTTGGAATAGATATACATTGCGATGTATTAAATTTTCACAATGATCTTGCTTTGTTTCTTAATAGGTGTAGAGCTTAGCTAATTTTAAAAACAATTAAAAACTGTTTGGGTGTTTTGTTGCGCTACCTGGCGGATGGCAGACAAACTGCTGATTTCTAGTGTTCAAAAAATTTCCGAGGGCGGCGTTGGCGTCTGTATCATCATCAATCTCCGTGTCTCTTTACCTTCACATTTAAAAAATATATTGGAAGATTTACTATCGATAAATGAATGGTTTAAGTACTGGGTCAGGCTAATAAATCTGAGAAAAATAATTACACAAGCGTAGCGTGATATAATGCGTTCATTATTCGATATGATTGAAATCAATAAACAATAAAGACGAAGAGGAAAATAATACACCCGAGTTCACTTTATGAATAGAGTCACTACATGAGCTTTAAAGTATCGGCACTCAGTTCCCCAGAATTGGTTTGGGCGCCGCCATTCTGGGTCTTGCTCAGAGCAAACGCAACTGCCGATCGTGATGATCCAAAAGTAGGACCCTCAGCATTAAGCGCCGTTCACACTGTTGCGACCGAGTACGAATGAGAGAGACCAGACCGGTTTTTAAGCCTATTGCGACTTCTTAGGACCGGATGCACTGGAGCGCGGAGCTGGTCTAAGAGATCGCGAGAGGCTTAAAAACCGGTCTGGTCTCTCTCGGTCGTACTCGGTCGCAAGAGTGTGAACGGGCCTTTAGATGCGGTGCTAGGAAGCTGATGCAATATTGCAATGCTCTGTCGCGGGTTGTTTAAGCATTTGTGAGGGACGGAAAAGCGTTTCCTGTGATTTTAGATAACGCTCCATATAACTGGCAACCATGATTTTAAGCCACAATTTTAAGCCAAGTGTCGTTACTCGGAACCGCAGCTAATTTACTGGCACAAGCGGGAACAATGAAGAAGAGGCAGGTGTCAAAAGGTAGTGGCCCGTGGAATCCACGGGGCTTACGTCATGGCCCCTCCAGGTATTACAAGCCTTTTGAACAAGAGCATGAATAGTGTCATTAAATAAGCTACGGTTCCGAGTAGCGACACTTGGCCTTAGTGTGGCTTAAAATCATGGTTGCCAGTTATTTGAAGCTTTATCTGAAATCACAAGAAACGCTTTTCCGTCCTTCACTTTAAACAGTTTTCGACAAAGCAAAGCAACATTACATGAGCTTCTTAACACCGAATCTAATGCTGAGGATGTCGCACTTTTGAATCATGACGATCGGCAGTTGCGCCTGCTCTGCACAAGCAACAAAATGGCGGCGTTCACAACACTGTCGGTGAAGAGAGTGCCGATACTCTAAGCGCAGCTCATTTATTGGCTCTAGTTCCCGCGAAACTCCTTACACCGTTATTATAGCTTATTTAGTTATAACAAAATACACATAATGAGAGGAGGAAGCGGGCGGGTAGGAGAAACGCGAGTTTTGTGTGCGACCGTTCTAACCGTCTCAAAAGAAAGAACGCACAAGCTTGCGCTGGTTTAAAAAAAAAAAGCACCAAAAGAAAAGATGCGGCACGCTGTGTTCTTTGTTATTATGCGTCTAATTGCAAATTGTTGTGTGTATGTTTATACAGCCGGAAGTTAGTCTGCCTTAGTGGGCGTCTGGTGACTCAGCTGTAGATGAACAATTTAGCCAGTGCGGTACAGCCGCAAACCTGGGGTCTTTAACGTGCACCACGCAGTAGTGATACACGAGCGCACGCCGGTACGATGCTCTTCCAGATCGAAACGGGCAGGGGCGGGGTGGGTTCTGCAGCGCGAGCTTTCGCTCCAAGTGCTCCGAGCTGGTGTGCGCTAGACCACGCACTCGGCCACCGACCCCCCCCCCCCCCCCCCTTCTTGTGCGTCTAATTTATATACAGGTATAAGTATTTGAAGATCGACGATGGACGTCGATCGTCTCGAGGTAATGTAACGTAATAACATTGTATAAATAATAAACTTGTTGGAGGACTGAACGACTAAATTTTTCAATTCTTGGATTGTAATATGGCGGTAGCCTATTGTACTTACTGTTGATGAAGAGCAATATGAGGTGACCAGGTAATTATTAATTGATGAAGCTCCATAAGGACGACGACATTAGTGGGTGTCGAAAAACAACGTACAGTGCCAGACTTGTTTCAGGTATCGTGTACCCAAAGACTTGCTTCACCCGCAACAGTATAAGGTAGAATCAATGAAGATGCTGCTTTACAACTGTACGTTGAACAGGAAAACTGCACTGTGCGGAAGTGCGGCTTATTCGTTAATATGAGGGACGGATTTCTAGCAGCATTCCCTGATTGACTACTTGGAACAGATGGCCTCGTTGACGTAAAGTGTCCCCGTTCCAAAAGATTCTTGAAGCATACTTAAACCGCAAAGGAGTATGAAGCGAAAAATAAGAAAAAGGAGCCGGGTGTGAAAGGTCCAAATCACCACCATAGCTTCTACTACCAAATACAAGGGCAGTTAAACAATACACAAAGAGAGTTTTGTGATTTAGTTATATTTACACTGAAGGGCATTGATATCCAACGTATTCAGAGAGATGACACCTCCTGGTCAACCAACATAGAGCCTTTTCTACTCAAGTTTTACATGGAAGGCCCCACTTCTGCTGAAATTCCTCACGTAGACGAGTTGTCCGACCGATTAAACTGCTATTACTATCTATCTGGGAATCTCTCGATCTTTGTTCGTAGGCTACAGTATTATGAGATCGAGGGGTGTGGCTCTTCGTCCGCCGAATATTGCTTCGGTGGGTTTTTTTCGTGTAAGATGAGACCGTCGCGTGCTGCCGGAACAAGAACCTGGCGATTCTTGACTGAACTGCCTCTTCCGTAAACTTCTAAAAAAGCTTTTTTTCGTTTCGCACATCATCTGCTCTGCTTGCCCGTTAGTTGCAGGATGGTATGGTGCACTAATGTGATGCCTCATGCCGGTTTTTTTTTCTTCAAAAACTTGTTTATTTTATTTGAAGCAAAATTTTGCGCGTTATTAGTGAAAAGTATTTTCGGTAGGGCAAAAGTAGATAAAAGAGACCGTAGAACGTCAATGACGTGTTTGGACGTCGTGGCAGGCATCGTGTAAACTTCCAGCCACTTAGAGTACGCATCGCCCATGACTCCGTAAATGCCGATACGTTTCGCCACCCACCGACTGAATAGTGGATCGTTTTCAGTTACTGTTCATGATGGCGTTGGATTTAAGGAAGACTTCGAGTCTTTCCACAAAGTTAGCCCAGGTGCCAGGACTTTTGTCGAAAGTGGTAAGTGTTCGAAACGTCGACAACGTCGGTAGCCACGTGTTGTGCTTGACACTGGACACTTACCATTCGCTGAAAAGAAACTTGCTTGTTCGTCTGCCAGGAGTCGTCCGATATCAGGTCATCACCGCTACACCATCTCCTGACCAAACTGGTCTTCATTGTTCGCATGTCCATAGTTAGCAATCACGTCAAGTTATAAATTCCCGAACGCTCATAACTTGCCGTCGCTAAACGCCGTTCAATCATAGCGTCTTCATTGCAAATAAACGTCTTCCTATTTCTTCTGATGGTTTTCATCATATTCTTCCTAAGCTGTACTTACGACATTATGTGTGTCGGTACTTCCGAAAATATTGCAACGGCGTTTGTTTTCCGGGAACTATAATGTAACAACCTTTACAACATCTTCCGGACCTCGTGAAACACAATATTTCGTGACGTTATTTTAGTCGCCATTAAAATGGTGAGGTAAATACCGTAAATCGCGAAGCAGTTTACTTGACGTCCGCTTCCACTGGTTGAGTCTACTGAGCATGCATTCCTGAAGAGGAAATTTTCATTGATAGAATATTGACACGTCAATCAACATTTGATTCCTTCTTGGTAAGATTTATTGCTAAAGCCCGTTACAACCGCCGAACCGTATGTCCCTATATCATACAACAATTTATACCCAGCCTGACATTCTCGCATACATCCGTTTGCTGGGCCACGCTACTTGAGCTAGCTGAGCACAGCTGGCAGCGGCGCGAGCAAGGCCACCAGGGGAACGTGATGGTGCTCGAGCCATCCCACTGTGACCCAATGTTTCGGCCACCCCACGGGTGCGTGTCGCCATCTATTGGTTGAACTAACGCCTTGTTCAAGATGGCTGCCGTGGGACCGCAGCCTTAAGGGGCGGTGGAACACTTCTTTTATATTGGCAGTAAATACCGCTTAGGACTGCCTAAAAAATGCGGGTTAGTTTTTCTCCCCACGCAATAGAAGTCGCAGGAAAAAAGATTAAACGAAAAATGAGCAGCCTTCATTTCCTTAAATCTCAGCAAGAACAAGCGGCCACGCGACCTGGCGCCGATTATATGTGGACCATGTTCATCACAAGTCTACACTGGGAACCAACCATGTCTTCAGTTCCCTACATTGTCATTGGTGGGCTATTCCCGAGATTTCATTGATTGTTAACGGTTGGCGTTGTTTGCAGGATACCGCTTACGTGTGCTGAAGACCTAGCCTACATGGGCCAAACGTACCGGCATGTAAATAATGAGACGCGTGAGCATGCTCTAGAGTTTTGCCGTCCTCACAGTGAGATCCGAACGCAGGCACAGATTGAACTCGGGTACTGCGACAGGCGTTCGGCTGGAAGTCGTGTTCAATCAAAGCGTAGAATGTCGCTCGGCATCGGACTCGGGACCAATTGCTGAGTTTGTGCCATCCGACTGCGACGACGTTTCATGGAGGAAGAGGAGGATATTAGTTGGCCTCGATTCCTCCTTGCGGTGTTCCTAAAGGTCACTTGCTGCCTTCCCTGTGCAGACTTCTGCTGTCATACTGAGCGAATCATGATTATTGGCAGGGGCTGGAATCAAGTCGCACGAAGTTCGTTGTATCTTGGTTAAAAATCGCGCACAAAGAGACAAGGACAAACGAGGAAGGAACACACAACACAGACGGGCGCGTACTCACAACTCTGGAAAGATGAAGCACGATTCACGACAGGGGACAACGGCACTTTCCTTTCTTCACTTAATATACCACAGTTGTGAGTACGCGCCTGTCTGTGTTCTGTATTCCTTCCTCGTTTGTCCTTGACCCTTTGTGCGCAATTTTTAACCATGTTCAACGTTTACCAAGTCGCCCAGCCTACTACTTTATTATAGTTTCGTTGTATCTGTTCGAGCCTTCGACAAAGCTCGGACGTATGGTCAAACAATTTATAGACTTTTTTTCTTTAGATTGCAGTTTTTAGGTGCTTGTTTCCGGCATGAGTGGCGTCGGCGTCACCGTCGGCGTCGGCGTAATCGCGCGGTGCATTATGGGAAACGTCCCATAATGCAACGCGCGGGACTCGTGACGTCACACGTGACGTCACGAGGGTCACGATTGACATCACGAAGGTCCCGCGCGTTGCATTATGGGAAACGTCCCATGATACAACGTGCGGGGAGGAGGAGGAGAGGGAGGAGGGAGATGGGACGAGGAGGAGGAGAAGAGAAGAAAGGCGGAGGAGGGATGAGGAGGAGGAGAGGAGTGAGAAGGAGGAGATGAGGAGGGACGAGGATAGGAGGAGGAGGAGAGGGTACGGATAAGAAGGAGGGGAATGCCCTCCCCTCAGTACCCTCCCCCTCCTCCTCCTCAAGTGCTGCGCTCTAATTCGGCGTTACAGGAAGTTGGAAACGTCTTTCATTTTTTCGTCTTCGTTCTATGCACTCTCTTTTGACTTTTCTGACATTCTCGCGCGAACAAAGGACTTCTCGTCTAGAGTTCAGGGGACCCTAAACTCGTCAAACAAAAATTTGGAGCCGAAGCTTTACGGAGCGCGCCGACTGGACTCTTGAAACGATGACGCCACACATTTGTCGCTGAAATCCAACCTGCGCGCTCTGCGAACTTTCGGCTCCAACTTCGTGTCCGACGAGTCTAGAGCCCCAGTTGACTACTATTAACAAACCTAGAGCCTCTTCACAGAGAGACTTGTGCGATTTCCCGAAAAAAAAGGGTTTGGTCCCTCACTTTTTCTCATCATGATTAATCTCTTATCTAGCTCTCTCTCATCTCGAGTTGCACTATTTTTTCCGGTCGGACTCGGGCTGAACCCACCCGACGGGTACCTTGACGTAGTCGAGGTGCCGCTTGAGACGCTCGAAGAGATCCCTGGGCAGGACGTCGACGAGGCTGAGTCCCTCGGGCAGCATCTGGCAGGTGGCCAGCGCCGAGATGGTGGCCGGGTCCATGAGGTCCAGCTCGAAGACCACGTTGTCCGCGTTGCCGAATGCCTGCTTGGCGTTCTCCGGCACGTGGTCCCAGACGCGCGTGTACGGCACGTGGATGGTGCCGAAGAAGTACGACGGGGGCTCCTGCCGCGTCGACCAGAGGAACGACGAGCCCGTCTCCAGTACGCTGTCCGCCGGGCTCTGCGAGGTCCCAAGTCAGGGGTCACCGGGAGGAAAGCGTACTTGAAAAAGCTCGCGGAGCAAGTGAACTGATCGATGCCGGCACTCTGATTGGCACGTTTTCATGGACGTCGAGTCGGCTCATTTACGGCAAAAGAGGGAGGAGGGGGCTTAGATAAGCACGCCTCAATGATTCACGTGCTAGCCTTTAGCCGGCCACAAAAGGGAGTCTTCAGACACGGTCTAAACCACGTTTGCTCTTTGTTTGGCGGCCCTGTTAGATTGGTGACACTGATTTTAGACATAAGCCCATATACGTATGAATCAAACATGTTTCAAACATGCCTGCGTCGTGGCTGCAGATAAATCGGTCGTCATGTCTGCACGAACACCCTGCACCTTTTGTATGACGCATGACCAGCGTGACTGGGCAAAATTTTGATAGACACTCATTTGGATCGAAATTGGTTCAACGCACCAATAGACACAGTTGAACAATGCTTACCCAACTTATAAGTCACATTATTCGCCTCTTTCTCGCGAGCTTATTAAAGTGCTTTTTTTTTAATTTGGTTCGAAAGGTTGAGAGGTTCTGGCAACACTGCTGTAATATGGTGTTGGTACGGCTTCCTCTCATCGGGTTACAAGTTTGATGGTGTGAAATTAATGCAGGGAAGCTCACCGAAGCAAATTAAAAATAAAACGCGCGTAATACTCTGATTTTTAGACTGCCCACTCGACTTGCAAGTTACGCAAGATCCGCCACCACCCCTACTGAAGAGCGCGGCTAAATTTGAATGTAGGTCTTGGCCATAAACTTCATTTTCCCTTTTCTCAAGAGCTATTTTGAATTTTGGGGGAAAATAAACAAAATGGCAGAAATAGTAAAACCAGTGTATTTTGAAAATCTGCTTAGTGGCCTGGAGCGCTTCTCTGACTGGTGTGTTTCGCGTCCTATCCTACCGGTACATCTAAGGGGTCCCGAAGCGGCAACAAATTATGTCACAGAAGCCGAACTGTCCTGCTGTCGGATGTCGCGATCCTGGCAGTTCGTCGTAGAAATGCTGGCGAAAAGCACGAGCGAAAGCGAGTGTCGCTGTCATCACGGTGTCCTAACTTCAGGCTGCTGAAGCTTTCGTGGACTGAAGAGCGACCTGCAGCAGGACAGGCGTCTGCCACACGCACCACCCATGCTGGGACACCGCCAAGATCGTGACCGGCGGCGACAGCACGACACTTCTACGACGTACCCGCCAATCGGAAATCGAGGGACCACATTTTTGGACGCGGTAAACGCATCAATCGGAGACGCGTTCCAGGCACAATAGTTTGAGTAGCTCAGAAAGCAGTCGGCTTCCTTACCACTCAAACTGTAAGCAAAGTATGGGATTGAACACGACTGTTGCGTCATCATGCAGCTGGGATTCGGTGCCCTCGCCGATTGGTCACGAACCCCGGCCGAACGCCGACTCGGCAGTCGTGTCCAATCCGCGGCCCACGCTGGCCTGCGATCGGTGACGTATCGAAACTCCAGCACGGCGGCCTTGTTTGTTGTCCAGGAGGTGCTGCATCCCTCATCCCGGCCGAGGAAGAGGGGGCCAGGCTATCGGCGGACCGGGCGCAGAAGTGCACGCCGAGAGAAGAAAGCCAGAGACCCCCGCCGCGGTCCGATGCGTCGGTCCGCCCGCCGCCCGGCTTTCTCGCGGCTCGCAAGAAAGAAGCCAGATTTGTTTTCAAAGGCGGGAGGGCCTCCGGGGGCCGCAGTCTCGTTTCTCAATCGGCTAAGTGGACGGACGACTCCCTCGCCCGCGGAAACCCAGGGCTGACTCCTCGAGCCCGCCCAACGCGACCACTGCAAGCCAGCGTCTCCGAGGCACGCTCCGGAAGCGCGCGTCCCTCGAAAACCCTTTCGTGTTCGCATCCCTCGTTTCCTTTTCGAATCCGTTCCCGATTCAATTGGCTAAAAAGCAGCGCCGAAAGCCGCCGTCTCACTTCTTGTAGATCGGAGGAAAGGCGGTCTGCAGTCAAAGGCGTGTTTCTTCATGGTACGATGGCCCTGTCACATGGGACATACAAAAACTCTGCAGACATAATCGAAACGCACATCTGTATGAAGCAAGCATGCTTCGTCGAACCTGCTTGAGGCGCAGATAATTCTCTCATCCTGCCTGCAGACTGTGTGCTTTGTATGATGCAAGAGCAGGTTAACTGCAGCTTGAGGTTTTCAAGAAGCGAACGGGTCCTTTGCTATCTGTGAATTTTCAGCTTACATTATGTCCTCCGCAACATTTCAACATATTTGAAATCGAGGAAAGGAAGGTATATTTCATTTAGAGAAATTAACGCGGTGGAAGATCTGACCGTTATATCGTCACGAATGAAAATTGATGAGGCGATGATAACTGAAGAAACTAAACGTTTAATGGGGCGAATCTGTGCCTAAAACAAAAAGGGGAGGGAAGAAAAAATTACACCATCTTCTTGAGGGGAACCATGGCGTGATGCGGAGCATCGTTCCATCACACTTCATCGGAAGAACGAAGTGAAGTGGAGTCAACAGCGGTGAACTGAACGCGCGCAGAAATTGGTTTGCTCTTTATGTTTATACAGCCTTGATGGAGATGCGCCTCAACGGGTAATCGGTCTCTTCGCTGTAGATGAGAAATTTAGCCAGTGCAGTACAACCGCTAACCTGGGATTCTTAACGTGCATCACGCATTAGTGATCACACGAACGCGTGCCGGTACGAAACTCATCCAGATGGAAACGGGCGGGGGTGGCGGGGACTCGAACCCAGGAGGTTCCCAGCGCAAGCTTTCGCTCCACGCTCCGAGCTGAGACGCGTTAGCCCACTCGGCCACTTCCTCCCCTTGAACACGCGCAGCGCGCTACCGCTGCTTGTATTCAAACTTGAAGGAGAAGAAACTAGAGGAGGAGAGTTGCGCCTGCGCGCGCGGTGTGAGTAGAAGCGAACGCACGCGAAGTGCACGCAGCTGGTAGCTGCGTGCACTTCGCGCAGCTGTTGAAGAGAGAGAGAACGCACGCGCAGCTGTTGGAGAGAGGGACGCAGCTGGTAGCTGCGTGCACTTCGCGCAGCTGTTGGAGAGGGAGAGAACGCACGCGCAGCGAGGAGAGTTGCGCATGCGTAGTGTGAGTGCGGACTACGACGCCGCGGGACATAGCCCGAGCAAGAGATGCTCCGCATCTAAAACAGCAGAGCCTCGCGCGCGTCGATGACGGCGAAATTGAAGAATAGAGCGCTGCGGCGAGACTGACCCCGGCTCGCCATGCACGCGGAGCCCCTTTTGTACACGCGTGGGCTTCGTGAACATTCGGTGAAGAAGGTTCGGTGCTTAGAACACTCCTCGAATCAGCAAAACGGTTCTCGAATTTACCAGAACATCACTTTACAGGGTCCACAAAAATGGGTAGCCGCGGCAAGGAATTGAACCCGGCCTTTTGCGCTGAAGGCAACCACGGGCGCCCTGCCAACTTCGTCAGCTGCGCGCGCAGCATTATAGTGCCGTCTTTGTCTTATGGAGGCACTGCCACGGTTTGTTCCGCGCCAACAAGACAAGATGGCGGAGAGAACACGGCATTTTCCGGTTGCCAGACTCCCAACTAGGGTTGCTAGGTTGTCGCCATCTTCGAAACACTGCCCAACAATCCCAATATAAGCGGCACTGCACGTGGACATGCAGGGTGTTCCAGATAATTTAGACCAAACTTTAAAAGAAACAGAAAAAGGAGCGCTTTATTGGTGTGAAACCAACTGTTCGTTGTTAGCAAGCGTCTTACAAAACTGCAAAAACTTTTCTAGTGCGCGCTTGCAGCGCTCTCAGAAGTGCTCTGAAAGAACGAGGATCACCTTATCATTGACGCGCTGCTTGAGACAGGGCTTTGAGGACGCAAGTGCTCGCGCCTATCCTTGGGACCTGCGCCATCACGAAGCCCTGTCTCGGACAGTACGCGCCAGTGATAATGGGCACTTTGCATGTTCCTTCAGAACACGTCTGAAAGCTCTGCAAACCTGACGCGCATGCGCAGAATCACGTGTTATATATATATATAGCGTAAACTACTTCATTTTCGCGAGGACCTAATTTTCGCGAATTTCGCGAATCGCCTACAATTCGCGAAAAATAGGTCCCGCGAACAATTGAGGTAAAATGTAAACACATTGGATTCTATATGGAGATCCCACCGCGTCGCGAAGATTAGAACCCGCGAATTATTCCAAAACTTCACCTTTGACCTAAAACGCGAAATATTGAGACCGCGAAAAATAAGTCGTTTACAGTATATATATTTATTACCCTAGAAAGAAAGCCCGCAATATATATATATATATTGCGGGCTTTCTTTCTAGGGTAATTAAAAGAAGCGCGCAAAGTGAATAATGTAACAACCACCTTAATTCGGTGTTAATGAATGCTCTCTACAACTTTTTAAACAAACAATTTAGAAACTAGATAATTCATCTCGGTTAATAAGTTACTAGACGCGCTAAAAAAAATTGATGCTCTTTCCGAAGACACCTGCTAACAAAATACAGCCGCCTTCGCTCCCGCAAAAAGGACCGTTTTTTTGTTGTTGTTTTTTTTTTGTGTGTTTGTTTATTCAAGCTATTTGGGACTTCCTGTATATAAGCGATACGGCATATAAATTTCTTCATTCGGGAGCTCTAGTAGATCGCTCCGATACCTCCGATAACGGTACCCGATAATGATGTGACGCATGCGCAAAGACGCTGCCAAAGTATTGGGTATCATTATCGGAGTTACCGGAACGATCTATTAAACTCTCTAACGTATTCGCCAAGCCAGCAACGCCTATTTTATGATATTTATTACATTTTTTGCTAGAGGGAGTAGTGCTACTTTGTTATCCGCACGCAGTTGATATAAAAACCATTGATAAGTGCCCCGCTGTTGAGTGTGAGTTGACAGCGTGCCATTAGAACGTGCATTGCATATCATCGATGCTTTTGATGTGGATTATTGATGAGCTGTTTTGCCCTC